TAAACAACTTCCAATCCCCTGTTACAGTGATGACAAATATGACAATATATTTTTCAATAATGTGTTATCACTTAGAACACTCCAAAAAAATTCCTGAAACATATGGGGAGATAAAAAACAGGGATGATCAAAATCAGTGGGAGCTTGCTATCAAGGAAGAAATTAATTCATTGTTAGAAAATAAAACTTGGTCAATAGTTAAAAAACCAAGTAATAAAAATATTGTTGATTGCAAATGGGTTTTTACAATAAAAAATTATGAAAACGGCCTCCCAATTAAATATAAAGCGCGTCTGGTAGCAAGAGGTTTTAGTCAAAGGTATTTACTCGACTATGACGAAACTTTTGCCCCAGTTGCCAGAATAACAACATTCAGGTTTTTACTTGCGTTTGCAAATAATTATGATTTATTGATACACCAAATGGATGTCAAAACAGCATTTTTGAATGGCATACTTAAAGAAGAGATTTATATGAAAGTACCAGAAGGGATTGAAGCGAAAAATCATGAAGTGTGTAAATTACATAAATCATTATATGGCTTAAAACAATCCTCAAGGTGCTGGTTTGAACGATTTGACATTACTTTAAAAGAGGCAGGGTTTCAAAATTCAATGGTAGACCGTTGTCTTTACTTCTTAAATAAGGGTAGTATTTTGAAAAATATTTACCTGGTTTTATATGTTGATGATCTGTTGATCGCAACTTATGATTCAACCACAATGATGAATTTTAAAAAATTTAATATGGTCGACCTGAATGAAGTAAAACTATTTTTAGGAATAAGAATTGAAAGAACACAAAATTCAATCACATTAGACCAATGTTCCTATCTAAAAACTATAATTTTTAATTTTAATATGAGTGAATGCAAACCTGTAGATAGCCCTCTTCCAACAAAATTAAATTATACTGCTTTAAACTCAGAAATTTATTATGACGCACCCTGTAGAAATTTAATTGGGTGTCTGATGTATGCCATGCTCTGTACACGCCCAGATTTATGTATATCTATAAATTTATTGAGCCGTTACCAAAGTAAAAATAATGAAGAACTTTGGAAATCATTGAAAAGGGTTTTACGGTATATTAAAGGTTCTCTTGAGCTCAAGTTAACGTACACAAAAGGTAATTGTGAAGATATTATTGTTGGCTATGTTGATTCAGACTGGGGAAATTGTGAAAATGATAGAAAAAGTACATCAGGATACTTGTTCAAAGCTTTTCAGAATTGCCTAATTTCTTGGAATTCGAAAAGGCAAAATACTGTAGCTGCTTCTACTACAGAAGCTGAATATATGGCACTTTTTGAATGCGTTAAGGAAGCTATTTGGATCATATCACTGTTTAAAAGTATTGACATTAAAATTATTAATCCTATACCCCTGTTTGAGGACAACAGTAGCTGTATTAGCATGGCCAACAATCCTGTCTATCATAAAAGATCGAAACATATCGATATTAAATATCATTTTACAAGAGAACAAATAGAGAAAAATGTCATAACATTAAAATATATTTCTACAGCTGAACAGTTGGCCGATGCTTTCACAAAAGGTCTTCCAGCAATCAAATTCAAAGAAATAAGGAAGAATATTGGTTTAATCTAGCCAACAAAATATTTTTCATATATATTATTGATTATTTAAATATATATATATTTTTGTTCATTTGTTTATTAATTTTTTTTTTTTTTTATTATTATACTTTATAATATATTTTTTTTTTTTTGATACTAAAGTTATTTCGTTTAATTTTTGAGTGGGAGTATTAGATATAATATGAATATCAATATTTCTATTACATAATATAATAATTTAATATTATATAGTTATAGAGGCAAAACTTAAACTTCCCCTATTTATATTTTATTTGGTGTCACTTGTTTATCAAAACATCATTAAAATTCAGGGTGTTAATGTAAACACGTTTCGAGGTTTTCCGATGTATGAATACATTTATTTGATTTTGCCAAGTTAGTTCTGGTTCAACATTTGTTCCAATATACGCATATATTGAGCAAATAGCAATTGTTTGATTTCAGCCCAAAATACCTTTCGTTCTTCTAATATAACCTTCGTCTTCCCACGCCAAAAAAAATTATGTGGATTCCTATGTGGGGTACATTCGCACCCCATGATAAAAATGATACTTCTGATAATTAAACATGATTTTATTTATACTAAATATTTATAATAGATTAAATCAACCTATAGATTACAGTTAGCGAAAAAAAATAGTTGGGAAATGGTATTTTCGACCAATCTTTCGATTTATAAATCATTTTTCCGCCTTCTACTTCCAGTAAACTTTCGTTCTCTTCCTGCTCCACAGATACTTCTTGATTAGCTTTATTATCGTGATTTCTAAATTTTGCAGGTTGGAAATCTATTTCCAACCTGCAAATTTCCTGCAAGGTGACTACTTGATGGAGTAGCCACAGATTCCCACGTGGGGTACGTCATTGGGTATATGTGCCCCACGCTATGCAAAAATTATTATTTCTAAAAATTGGGAAAATATTATGCTAGAAAAATTGTTTTCTGGGGTACATTTGTACCCCACCCGGGAAGACGAAGGTTAAAACAGGAATTCTATTATCTAAACTTGAAACGGCGAGCATCAGCGGAACCTTGTTGAAGTGGTTTGGAAGTTATGGGATGTCAGATCGTTAGGGTTCATAACTTTAATTTCCAAAGTTATTAAGGTCACATCAGGTGTACACCAAGGGACATACGTGGGCCAATTACTTTTCAACTTATTTATTTATTTATTTGTTGATGATCTTAAGATATTTCTTAGAGTTGGCTCTCATCCTGATTGTGAACTCATTCAGTCAGATTTAAACAACCTCGTAAGATGGTGTGAGCAGAATGGCATGGCGCTCAATACCTTTTTTTTTATTTTTTTTTTGTTTTTTATTGAGAGCAATCACATATAATAGCTCTCAATAAAAAAACTATCTTCAGGCTGCTACTGCATACGATCAATCTCATCTACCTTGGGGTTCACCATAGCAAAATCAGTATATTTCGCTGTGATACAATCGCACCTAACTTATGGCTTGCCATTTTGGGGATGTTGCAGCTAGTATCTTTTTGAATCAGTGTTTAAACTACAAAAACAGGCAATCCGATTTATTGCTCGCGTTTCACCACGGGAACACTGTAGGCCACTATTTGTTAAGTATAGGATCCTCACTCTTCCATGTATTTTTATTCTCGAGTCAGTAAGCCTTATTCATAAGACTATCTCTTGTTTTCCGGCACGCCAAACTACCCATCTGACGAGACAAAGTCATCATCTGTCGCTTCCTATTCCACATTCCTCTCTTGTACAGAACTCTATCATTTACAAGAGTGTAAAACTTTATAATCACCTTCCAGCAACTTTGAAAGATATATCAGATATCACTCTATTTCGAAAAAAGTTAAAAATTATCTTACTTACCCAAGCATTCTATACTGTTAATGAATTTCTGAACTTGGTATTTTGAACCTAATAAATTTAACCAGCTTTTGCAGCCTAGAATTATCGTGGGCCGGGCACTCTGTCCAGGGTGTTTATTTTATTTTCCTATCAGAGCACTACTGTAATGTTTGTTCATGTTTTATCTTATTTCTTAATGATTCTGTCAAGATCTGACCCCCTAGTTATTTAGTTATTATTGATTTTAATATTTTACAACAGTTTGTTCTTGTATTGTTTCTTCTGTGTGTGACTTATCACTTGTTTATAGTTTTTTTTTTTAACTTATTTATTAACTGTTAAAATTTAAAAATATTTATGTGTATTTACTGTGACAAGCATTATAGTTAGATGGTTTAGATTTTGGATTTTAGATTTAAGGATTAGCTTTGTCCATAATGATTATTGTATCTTTCGACAATAAAGCATGCTACTACTACTACCTCCAAGTGTCATTTGATGTCATTTTCCAGGTCTCGAGAGCCTTTGCTTTTTCAGTATGTGATTGATACTAGTATTTTGGATAATGTGTACATTATACTGGATCTGGGCATTTTGTTTGATCGGCCACTCACATTTATCCCGTACATAACATCAATAAAATCCAAAGAACTTAAGATGCTGGGATTTTTTGATTGACTTTCAAAATGTATCTTCTCTAAAGTCACTATACTGCTCATTCGTGAGACCCCACCTAGAGTATGTATCCTCAGGAATCCTTTTTATGCAACGCATGTAAATGCCTTGGAAAATATTCAACACAAATTTCTTAGATATGACTTATCCTGAGCTTCAGACTGTCTTGGGACTATCCTCGCTGAAGGCTCGCCGTGAACAGCATGATTTGAAGCTTTTGTTTAATGTCCAGATCTATTATCAAGAATAAATATTCTTGTTCCACCCCGGACAACACGCTCCAATGTTACATTTCATAAACCCTTTACCAGTACAAATTATGGCTTTAATTAATTTTTTTCAGGTCTAGCAAATTGACTAATTTTTACTCAAATCAGTTGGACTTTTTTTTCTTCCTCCTCCAGTTTTTATAGGGATTTGAAGGCAACTGTGATCTGAATGTAAATTAATTGTAGCTTGTAGATTGTGCTTTAGCATCTATTGTTTGTTGTATATTATAATAGTTAATATTGTTGAATTTTTATTGTATGTACATACATACATACATACATGTGCATACATGTGATATATTTCATAATTTTTTAATTTCAAATCAAATCAAATCAAATCAGAGTATATATTATTGTATACATTAGTTCATTAATTATCTATTGTAAAAATGGGCTTTGCTCGTCAATAAATAAATTAAATTAAATAAATTATCACCAGTCAAGAAGAAATGGTAATACAGTAATAATCATTTGTGATTGCCGATTGGACACGAGACTTAGAACTAGCTCACATGTTATTTTTGGTTTCAATTCATTTTTCAGCTTTATTTTGCAGGATAGTATACCAGTTAAATGCGAATTTTCCGCAAACATCTGAAATTTCCCAACAACCACATATTCACTTACTGTGCCTCGTTAATAGCCCTAACAATCTGCTCCTTCAACTCGAGTGTGCGAACTGATATAGTGTAGGCCATCTGTTGGCCATTTTTGACTAGTAGAAAATTGTAATTCCAGCGGCCCTGGTTATTTAGGATGGCGCGATTGTGGATTTCTTCAACGTGATACTCCATTATGTTAAGAATGTCCCTGAAGGCGAATTGGTTGTTCTAAAACGAAATTATTAGAAGATATTCCACGGGACTAAATGAAAATTACTCACTCGAGCTTTACAAATTAGAATGGCCTTATCGAAAATAAACACGTATCTGTTTCTGGTCTTTTGATCGTCGTGGGCCTTTATTTTCAGCTCCGCGTCTTTTATCAGTTTGCCATAGTTTGATAATCTGAAAAAATTACCTATACAATTCAAATTATTTTTATGTGTTTTTGGTTTTACTTCATTTCTGGCTCGTGTTCCCAATCCACAATATTATCCTGAAGATTATTTATTACATTCAAATGTTCCACATCCCTATGCGCCTCATTGATGTAGCCAGCAACGTCCAACATTGCTTCGTGGGCCCTTTTCAGTTCTACATACTCTTCATGATGCTAAAATATTCAATTGTAAATATCTACATAGTGCTAGTGATATTTATGAACAATCTCAAAAAATAATGTAATATAATAAAGTATTCTTACTTCATCAGTCGTTAGTTTATCTAACAGCAAATGATATTTCAATATCCGTTGCATTGGCACAGACAGCACATCTCTTAGCTTAAATCTACCATTATTTACTTCTTTTTCATGTTTCTAAAACAAATTTTATAACTGCAACATTTGCACATGTATAAGTTATATTAACTCACGATAACGGTTTGGTTAAATCCGTCATCCTGATCGCAGAGCTCCTGTAAAAGAGTTGTAGCTCTGGTCAAATTGGCACAGTAACTACCGTAAATAAGGAACCTTTCTTTAAACTGCTGGAATATTTGGCTCAGCCTTACGTTTGGGTTTGTTCGGATTTTAGTAAGTTCAGCAAGAAAGGCTGAATGGATCTCGTATAATTCCTAAAGCAATAATAGTTCAGTTTAGAAGTAGAGCCTAAAAAAGAATCCGCTACCTTTATTTTATGAAAAACAGTAGCATGATCCTCAGGCCTCATTTGATTTTGCAAAGGCACCATAAAACACATTTTAAGTTTATTGAGGACGTCTACGTAGTTTTTCTCTGTATCCAGTAGTTCCCTAATTACAAAGTCTCTTTTCTCTTGCGGTTGAGTTTGCTGTAATAGTTGTGCAAATTAGTATTTTTGTTGTTGTTTTTCTTATTTAGTCAAGCAATAAATAAAAAAAAAAAAAAACATGATACCTCAATGGTACAGCGAACTAAAAGCAAATCCTGATAAATTTCTTCATTCGTGACGGCACTGTCGATGTCAATGATTGATTGTCCTAGGTCTAAGTTTCGATGCGAGGGCGGTTGACTGCCAATAATAAAAAAAAAATACATGCAAAATAAAAAGTGTCAATGGATAAGGGCCCAGATTTGTATCAACTGTGCTAACTAAAAATAAAATGGTAATTTTACTACTGTAAATGATGAAAAAAATTGTTATGGGTTGCCAACAGCAGCTACATAAACCAATCTACTTCAAAAGACCTCTGATCCTAAATAAAGTTTCTATGTTCAACACAAAAATATTGAGGCTCAGAGGTTGAACTAAATTCTGACCTCTGGTATGTTAGCTTGAAATGTGACGTAACAGAGGTCGTCATAAATATCTTCTTGACTTTCTATCCGAGGACATGGTATTGTGAACATTTTCCAATTTGGATCCGTATTTCCATTGGGGGTATGAGCATTACTATGTTAAAATAATTACATTTTTATTTACATAGTTTTTTAAAAAATGTATAATATTGAAAGTGGTTACTTACATTTTTGTTAAGCTCTGGTATATGACCTCTTCTTCGCGGCTTTTCTGTTTCGGAGTGGAGAATCCCCTGAAATTATTACATTGTAGTAAATCGCAACATTTTTGGCACCCAATTAAATTTATTTCAGATCCATTTTCAGATTTTATTGTATATTGTCTTAATTCAATCATTGTTAGCAAAAACTGTTTAGGAATTGTGGTTCTCACAAAGATCATATCGAGACTGAAGATTCTCCTATTCGCTCCAATAATTATGTAAAAAATATTTATCTAAAAAAGCAAGTGGAGCAACAATATTTTAATGAATATCCAAAATTAGCCTTCTAATGAAGAAATTGTAATTGTTTCTTTGGTTCAGTGACCAAGACTTGCAGAAACGCTTTAGTAAAAGTGTGCAAAAATTCTATATAATTATATTTCAGCATTTTTGTGTTTGTTTTCATTATGTATTAATAAATCACTTACGGTATTCCAGTTCTCAAAGCCTTTTCGGTTCTGGAAAGTTTGGACAATGTACACAGCACCTTATGAAAGTTAGTTAGATCAAACAACATAGCGTCTTCAAATAAATCAGACATTCCAAATCCTGATTGGCACGTTTTAAGGAACAAATTGATATTTCTTAGACATAAAAACTAAAATAATTAAATTATGGATTTGTTGTATATATTTTTTTTAATCCTTACTTGTGCCATAGTTGGCTTTAAACTGACATCTTTCATGTCAATGCAGCCGGGATCAATTTTATTCAATAGTTTGCATAAAAGCACTCCATCACGAAGGATGGCGGCAAAATCTGCTATGGTGCTCTCCGGCCAGTGGGCTTTGTGATCTGGTCTGATCATTTCCCATCTTGTCAACCACTTGGCGCATTCCTTCCATAATTCGTCAGACTCTGGGATATAAGCTGCAGCCATAGTGAGATGATGAGCCTATTTAATTATTTAGATAGTTAATTAAGAATGTTAAATTTTTCAATTATAAGGAACTTGAGTTGGCATTATCAATGGTTGATTGGTGTAGTGTTCTTTTGTTAAACAGGAATAAAAATCCCATTTTTCCAAAGTGGATAAATGATCCCTAGATTAGGTATTATCTCAGGTATTATATACCATACATTCTTATAGTTACATGTGCAATGCAAACAATATGCCCCTATTAGCCATCAAAACTACTTGGATTGCATAAGAAGAGTTCAGGATAGAAATGGTTTTTAGAATTTCAAAACATTCCAAAGGTATTTCCAGCTGTATGACATTTAAAAATGAGAAGGACCATTTTAGTTCCGTACATGAAGAATATGACGTATGTGTTGTGTATGTCAGTGTCTATTAGTATCATATATATGTAATCATGTAATTTGTATGTGTATTGAAAACTGTGTAGTGTATCATTCTAACTGCACTATTCTCGAGTTCTTTGTCTAGTCTATTTTTGAACGCGTTGACAATTGTTGCTGACACTGTTTGGTCTTCCAGGGCGTTCCATGAATGAACAACTCTGTTGCTCAGAAAGTTTCTTCTAGACAGTTTTGCGGTTTTTTCTTTCTCGAAGTTTCTTGAAGTATCCACGAAGATAGTTTTGGTTCTGTACAAAGATTTCTCTAATATTGCAATTATAGTAATTTAAGTCTCCTTTATATCTTCTTTACATTTGTTAGTTTTAGTCTTGTCAATTTCTCTGTGTATGGAAGGTCTCATAGTTGTAGTGGTATTTTTGTAACTTGTCTTTGTATCTTCTCTAGAATTTCTATGTCTTTTATACAGTTTGCCCATTTTTTATTGAGGGTCTTTAAATGCTTGTTTAATGAGGCCATTTTAAAAATGTGGTTCTCCCACTTCAGATCTAAAGTTATAATGACCGTAGGTTATTTTGATTTGCTATAGATTGTAAAGTCACATTGTTTAGTTCATTTGAATTATTTAGACCTATTCTTAAGACTGTATGTACATTTTGACTCATTCAACTTCATTCCAGGCCATTCTTCAACAGTTTCTAGGTCAGCCCTAAGCTGCCCTGCGTGTACTAGCAAAGCTTACCATCATCTGCGAAGTTTTTTATTTTGGATTTAATGAGACTGACAAGATCATACAAATATGATGTGAAAAGCTCAACTCTGCTACTAACAAGATGTTAATTTGACAGCATACCATTTACTCTAACTTGATAAAATCTTCCATGTCCTCTATCACTGTGTGTGTTCCAATTTTCTTTGTTGAATGCCTTCTCACAATCGAGATATATCACGTAGATCAAATTTGTTGTATGGAACGTTTGCGAGGGTGGTATGACATTTTCTTCAGAGAAAAACGCTGTCAGTTCTTAAATAATTATCTTTTCCATGGATTGCATGTTAGACTGATAGGCCCTCGGCTAGGCTTGTAGTTTTCTGGTCTATGTCGATCACCCTTTCTGAATAGTGGAGTAACTATCGATTTTTTCGATTGCTGTGGAATTTTATCAAGTGTTGAACACTCCGACCACCACAGTTTTGCAGTACTATCTGGACTGGACTATGTTTTCATATTTTTTAGGGCTTTTTTGACTTTTTCTACATCAAAAATTAGGTATAGGTTCAAAAGACTCTTCAACGTTCCTATGGATTGGTGGAATATAGGTACATACCTCCGTACATACATAATAAAATTTACCAACTGAAGGATCATTTGTCTAATCTATAATAAATTATTATCCACAGGAATTTTTCCAATAATTTGGAAATCAAACATCTTGAGAAATGCCTATTCAGCTATAGTTCTCCTAGAGTATACAAGTCCTGTTTGGTCTCACTTTTATGAAAAACATAAACATAAATACCAATTGGAGAGGGTGTAACAAAAAGATTCTCGCAATTTGTTACATACAAACTGAATATTGGTTATGACTTTATGAATTATGATCGAGGGGCAAACCACTAGTGGAAATCATTGTAAATTTTTTTTTGGGAACCGCACATTAATTAATCAATCAGGAATTCATGGAAATCACTTGGGAGTCTGTGGGAATTTCCTAGGACTGCATGGAAATCACATAGAAATCCATTGGCGATCGCTGAGAATCATGTGGTAATCGCTGGGAATATTATCTCATTCTAACCCAGAAATCGCATATCATAAATTTTTAACGATACAGCGTACCGGTTTGTATTTGCCTTTAAGACTTAAGTTTCAGGCAACATTTGCTCTGTTCCAACATGAAAATCGTTCTAGAATGGTAATTTCCAGTCAATCAATTCATTTGTCAAGTAGGATAAATGTTCAACTTACTGAAAAATAGGTGGGCAACTAGAAATTACTGTTCCTGGAACGCTCATGTTGGTTAAAACCGAGCTATTGAATGCTAGACAATTTGAAATGAATTTGATATCCCAACGAGTTTCCCAATAACTGAGCCCGAGACTACGAAAAGTTTAGAATTTGAAGAAGAAGAAGAATGAGATGAAGATTAGGTCCGTTCTCAAAGAAATCACAAACCAGTCAGAGTGTTTTTGATTGGTGCAAATCGCCAACCACCAGTTTTCTGACTATTTTTAACCAATGAAATTCGCTCTGACTGGTTCGTGATTTTTGTGAGAACAGACCTAAAGTATGACAATCCGACTTGCCAAAAAAAGACCTAGAATTTCTTTACACATCAGGGTTAAGCAATTGCGATTCACCACAATTAAGAGATTATTCATGGCTCAACTTTAATTTGGTTCTTTTCAGATAAGCAGGGAGTTTTCTCGATCGAGTAGTAAGAGCTATGGTAATGTCCCTGAGGAAGACACAGAAGAAAAAGTCGGGAATCCAAGGCAATAAGAACTTGAAAAGGAGAAGAGGAAAGTAGAATAAATACTAGGCAGTGCGAGAAGCAGAGACGATAGCACATCTGAATCAGAATCAGAAATAAGTTTGTCAAGTGAAACCCTAACTGAAGATGTCTCTGATTCAGATGAACATCCTAGTGAAATCAAAGAAATATCCATTATTTTAGATCCATATTATGCAGTGTAGACGTACACAATGGTATCTAGGGCTCAACATTTATTTATACCGAGATTTATACCTACAACAAAATCGGTGTCAGTGTGGACACCCATGAAAATAATAAAAACGAAGTTGCTAACTTTTGGAAGAGTTGCAAATACAGAACTTGTCAATTTTTCAGTGGAAACATGTTTTTATAAGAGAAAATACTGTTTATTTTGATCATATCAATGCCAAGCTAAGCTTAACAATTAGACATCGTTTTCCTAATAAAATCAGCTGGAAATCGGATGATTGTAGGAAATTATTGAGAAAATCAGGTAATCAATTGGGAATAATATAGGAATCCCCAGAAAAAATGGAAATCACCCGGTAATCATACAAAAATATCTGAAAATCATTGTACGTACATTATGATGATGTGTCAAAACTCTTAAACATGCACACTCAAACCCAAAAGAGAGATCTTTAGGATCTGTGTATTATGTTTGAACTGGTGAATATGATCCATAGTCATCTCAGCTCTTATCTTTGGTTGCTTTTGATGTACCACATGGCATAAGAAACAATAATCTATTTTATATACAGTATTATTGTACTTACTATGAGTACAATTCTCCTATAGATTTGCTACGCCTAAAAATTATTGTACTTTAAAAAAAAAAAAACAATAAAAACTAGTAAACACAATTAAGTTAATTATAGATTTTTTTACATAACATCAAGATAATCCTGATAGTTTCAAGAGACCTTAAGAATAAGGGATTAGTGAAAGTCTTTAGATAATTGAATTGAAAGTAAAGGTGAATTACCATTGAACAGAATCAGATCTCTAAGCAAAAATAGGAAATAAAAATGCATCACCTAGAAAAAAAGGCCATAGTCTCTTCTATTACAATTCAAAGATATTTTGAATCTAAAACTTTTGAGGGTTGAATTATTATTATCCTAAAAATATACATGACTTGGAATCCTGGACTAATGCCATCGAGGCAGTGGAAAGCTTGACAGGAGGCTATGAGGAGATCTAATTGCATTAATTGCAACTTATAAAATCTAAAGTAATTACTACTCTGTCAACTTGAATATGTTCTAAGCAGCAACCACAACCTTCTAGAAAATTAGAGAAAGAAAGATGTTATAAACCATTCAGAAGAAACTTCTTGTGCAATAGGGTGGTCTATAATTGTGGAATTCACTAAGTGAAGAAACAGTCACAGCTCCCAGAACCATCTCAGTTTGATGTCTAAAGACATTTATACATTATTCTGTGTTAACTACTCAACAAACATCTTGTGAACTTGAAAAAAAGCAATATGCTGACCTAGAGTATACAGCAATAATGAACATTATAAACCCAAATTGTTTACATCGTAATATTCAGTTAACATTCAAATGACCCTGTTGCACAGCTGCTCTAGGGGATTTAAGCCACCATAGGAACAAATTAAACCATAAATATCACTGTAACATATTTATTATCGATTATTTGTTCGAACTAATTGAAAAAATGCTATTAAAAAAAATTGTTTATTGCTAAAACTACTAAAAAGTACCACATACCTTAAAGAAATGCACCGAAGATCCCAGAAACGAATTTAGACGATACGTAACTGTTTCCTATTGATATTACATTGTTTTTAGTTCAATTTTCTTTGATTTTTGATCAACATTTCTGATTAAGATTAATTAAAAATGATTAAAATTAATTTTTTGTTATTTTTGACTTCAGTCTCTCAAGCTAGTATATTTATACCGACTGACAGTAGATTGACAAGGTGACAGAGCCGTGTTGCCGTTACACTGTTGCCCGCTCTGTTTATTATTTTTTGATAAATCTAGAATAATTAATTAAAACCCCATTAATTATTCAGGAAAAAAAAAGGAATTCAATCTACTCTATACTGTTGTGGCGGTGATTCTACCAAAATTTTAAATGCTGCGAAAATGTTGGTTTCGCTTGTGCTTTTATAGGCTTGGCAACGTCGCAAAATAATCTAACCTCACAAATTTTCAAAAGTTTCTGTGGCCCTTCTTTTTTGTGTAAATTTTTAAATCTTTAATTACTTTGATACAGATAATTTAATTAATAAGTACTGCTAAGTATAAAGTATCTATTTATTCAATTTTTTTCAATATCAATGGCTGTTACACTAGGAGTAGATTGGTCATCGGATAGTGAAGATAGCCTTTTCGGTGACGATGGAGATTATGATAATTTTAAGGTAAAATCACAGTTTGTATAATTGTTAATGGATATTTATTTTAACTGCAGCACCATATTTCTTGCCTTAGCTATAAAGCTGTTTTATACATTCAAAACCTACTTTTGCCTTTCCCCATTCCACAACAGCAAATGAAGATCCAAACCAACAGCAGATTGTTATTTATATGGATCTTCTACCCTTTTATAGAAAAGTCTCAAGTCACCCAAAACTATACAGGGTGTAAGAAAAATAGTGTGGATGTCATTGGTGGTTACTCACTCACAAAACAAAAAAACATATGTTCATAGGAACTTTTTTTCTTATTTTCATATGTAGTATCACCTTTCGAAGTCCAGTACAGTAATTTTTTTACACCCTGTATATTATTAGTTACTGAAGTATAATTTCGCCTCTACATTAGTTTTGAGAAATTCGAGGAGAAATTTCTTCTTAGAAACTTGTTACATCTTTTTTTCTCAAGTTTCTGTTTATGTCTTCTGCGGTATTGGTGGCAAGGAAGAAGTTAATGTCACATGCATAGTGACCATTTAGTATTTTGTATGTTTCAATAAGGTCTACCCTCATTTTTATGTCTTTTAATTTAGTTAGGTTTAGTTGGTTAAGGCGTAGGGTAATTCTTTGAGTTCATTAAGTATCCTTGTAATACGGTGTTGTACAATCAGTTCAATGATCTTGATGTAATATGGGTTCTAGATGAAATGGCCTTATTCGAGCTTTGGTCTTACATAAGCTTCGTAGAGTTTTAGAACTATTTCTTCAGATAGATTTTTGAATGAGGTAGATTAGTGAATTTGTTTTTTTTTCATTTCAGTGATGTGTTGTTCCCATACAATTTTAAATTTAAGTCTTATCTGATTATTATTCCTAGGTCTCAATTGACGTTTGTTGGAGGAGTTAATCATGTTCAAGATTATTCCGGCCAATATGTAGAACTTAGCACTGTAGACATTGTCCACTCTTTGCTAGTGTACAGGTCTTCCTGGAGGTGTGCAAACCGTAGTAGTGGATTGCAGGATAGGCTTGTGTCATCTGCAAATTATTCATATTTGGTCTTCAGTTTTTGGCAAGGGGCAAACCATCTAGGAATTCTTTTCCAGAAATGTGGAGAATTTGGATGAATTTGTGGGGAATTTGAAGGAGCTCATCGGAATTTATGAGAATTTGGGAAATTTGGAAATATTTATGGGGAATTAGGAAGAATTTTTGAGGAATTTAAAGGAAATTGTAGGGTCATGATGTCACCGAGATTCACATTCTTACTCGCATTCTTATTATAAGAAACAATTTTTTTTAAAAATCTATATTAATTTTGTGTTGAACGTTGGACATTCATTTTTATTTAAGAAATTCTCCCAAAATTTCACTTCATGATTTACAAGTCGAATTTAAAAAATTCAAAAGAATAATGAGTACAGTTTTAATAGGCTGATTTCCAAGATTCTTCATCTTGTTATTATCCACTGGAAAAATTTGAAATTTTGGGAAAATAAGCTTCTCACCTTCCTCTTTACATGAAAAAAGTTTCAAAATTTTCCCTTCACTAGTTTTCCAGGAAAACTTTAAAATATGTGAGACTGTATTTTCAATTTTTCAGTTATTGTAGGTTGATTTCCAAGATTTTTCATGTTATTATTTTCTACTGGAAAAAATTGAAATTTTGGGAAAATGAGCTTCTAACCTTCCTCTTCACATGTAAAAAGTTTTAAATTTTTCCCTTCACTAGTTTTCCATGAAAACTTTGAAATGCATCAGAGTGTATTTTCAATTAATTCAATTTTTGTAAGTTGATTTCCAAGATTCTTCACGTTGTTATTTTCCGCTGGAAAAATTTGAAATTTTGGGAAAATGAGCTTCTAACCTTCCTCTCCACATGCAAAAAGTTTCAAATTTCTCCCTTCACTAGTTTTCCATGAAAACTTTGAAATGCATCAGAGTGTATTTTCAACTAATTCAGTTTTTGTAGGTTGATTTCAAAGATTCTTCATGTTGTTATTTTCCACTGGATAAATTTGAAATTTTGGAAAAATGAGCTTCTCACCTTTCTCTTTACATGCAAAAAGTTTCAAAATTTTCCCTTTACTAGTTTTCCATGAAAACTTTAAATTGTGTGAGACAGTATTTTTAATTAATTCAGTTATTGTAAGTTGATTTCCAAGATTGTTTATGTTGTTATTTTTCACTAGAAAAATTTGAAATTTTGGGATAATGAGTCTCTCACCTTCCTCTATACATGCAAAAAGTTCCAAATTTTTCAGAAGAGGTACAAAATCTCCTCAAAAATGACCCTGAGTGCAAAGGAACTTCAAGCTACTTGAAGTTGATACAAGTTTATCTGTATCCAAATCCGAGTAAAATTTGTTTTTTTTTTTAAAGATAAAAGTCAAAATGACATTATGTTGGCAGTACAATGTAAAATTGTCAATGCTTTCAATTTTTTTATGTAGAAAAGGCTTGTGCTGCCAACATAGTTACTAAATTTTTGACTTGGGGAATTATCTTTAAAAAAAAAAAACTTTATGAATCCTAGTATCATATGGAAAAAATGGTAAACGTTGAAAAAAGGGTTATCTAACCTTATTTCCAAATTATTGAAAAAGTAATTCATTTGGCCTGACTGTTGAGGTTCAGATTAAACTTATCGTTTTTGGTCTTGTAAAGCTGTTCAACTTTTAGGAAAACAATATAGATACCTACCTAAGTTGTTCAAAAATTAGCTACATGACGTGTATTATTCTTGGTATTATACAGTCCATATTATATTTGTTTTAATTTCCTAAATAGGTTTTTTTGAGAGGAGTTTGAAGGAATTTGCGGGAATTTGGAAGAATTTGCAGGGAATTTAGAAGAATTTGTGGGTTATTTGGAGAAATTTGTGGTGGGGTATTTTGAAAAATTTGTGATGGGATATCTGGAGGAATTTGTGAGGAGTTTACAGGAATTTTAAGGAATTATGCGTAAAAAAATCTCCTTTGAGGAATTGTTTGCACAAATTCTGGGATGGCGGTTTACCCCTTGGTTTTTGGCATCTTTCACACAAATACAAGAAAATCAAGGGTCCCAAGACCGAGTCTTATGGTGCGCCACTATGTACAGAGTATTCAACTGAGAGTGATATTGTTGGTATCTTATCAAATGCCTTTTCAAAGTCAAGGAAAACTACATTAATTGGATCATCATCCGTCTTTGTCAACATATTGAGTCTGAAGGTTTGTAAAAGTAGATTTTTTTTGGGAGAAAACCATGTTGTTGGGGTGGCACAATAATGAGTTTCGAAGAAAAAGCTTGTGGTTCCTTAGTAATGATTTTTCCCATACATTTATGGGACCCTGGTATGTAGTTTTCTACCACCTTTTTGTTACTATTTTGAATATAGGTATAAAAACTGCTTTTTTCCAAGGTTGTGGCAAATCTCCTCTGGATATTATGTCATTCATAAGTGCTGCCAGAGGCCCCTTTACATTGTGCGAACAATTTTTAAGAAATATAGGAGTGATCTTTTCAAGTCCCTATGAACTTAATGGCGATTTCTACTTTTTCTAGAGTGTAATTTATGGTTTCGATTTCTGTTCTGGAGTAGAATTCAACTGGAAGTGTTGGTCCGAGTTTGGTAAAAACACTCTGGAATTGCTGTGCAAAACAATCTGCAACCTCCTGGTAAGATTCAAATCAAATAGAACTAGAGTTGGCTTTGTTAACAATACTGAAGTGGGTGTGTTTAGAGTTAACATAGGAAAATAACTGTTTGGTGTTATTCAACAGATTTTGACCTTATTATTTTGATGCTGGGACTATTGGTAATTTTTTTCAATATTGTTGTGCCTATAAGTTTAATTGGGATATTTCATGTTTGTTTCAACCATGGCTATCTTATTTTCTGAATCATTTATTATTGATTAACATTATATTGATAAAAATACTGATACAGTTATGCTGTGCTTAACATTTCATTTCTAGTTCAGCCTTCTGGAATAATCTCCCAGTTTCAGGAAAAATAAATATTATTATTCTCATTTTGTTCATGATTTGTTTGACTTATCTTGCAGATTTTTATAATCTAATCAAATTGGACTTCACCTTCTAGCTTGATGAAGCTGACTCGGAAATATCCAATCTAAAAGTATATCAGGATAAAAGTACCTATTTTTAGAAAATTGGAAAGTTCTCACTTGATCATCCTCTGTTTGGCCTTTCCACCAACCTTCCTTATAACCGTCTTTGCCTATCACAATAATGATTTCCTTTTCTTTGAAGGACAATTGACTCCTATCAATAGCATCGTAATTTCTCAAAGCCACAGCCCTTAACTGGTGAAATGGATATAGTAGTTTTACATCGTCCGCCATACTAGAAAGAAGAGTATTGAAAACTGCGATTTTTTAATCTTTTCTGGAGCAGAACAGAATTATTCACAATCAGGAGAAATCAATAAACAGATAAGAAATCCTCTCTGTACCTGTCGAAGTTTTCCTCTAAACTATAGTTTTCATATCTCAAAATCATTTCTTCTATACTACTGAAAAATTTGAACTCTGACAAATAGTACTTCCTAATGTCACCATCAATTTTCAATTTTATTCTCATGTGTTTGACTCTGCCACTCCATCTACAATAAAATTATTTTCATTGTCCCGCAAAAAAATACTAAAAATAATGGAATCATACTTCAAGCTAATCGTATGCGAATGTGTAGAGTCCCTGTTCCGTCTAATCAGAAACGTCCCGTTCTCTCTCCTAATGAGTTTTTCGCTGGCTGTCGACCGGTCAATTTCACCCACATACCAGAGCTGGTTTCTCAGCGGGTCTCTATCGCTTGTACCATTCGGTATGCTCGCTTGCAACCTAAAAAAATTTAAGTCGGAAACAAACCAAAAAATAGCAAATTCTTGCCTCAAAGGTGACACCCCGCATCCTCCACTAATCTGAATACATTCTTTATGAACAGCGCAGTTGCATATTTGACACAAATATCCCTGGAAAATTAGTCCTTTGAGGTACTTGCAACAATACATACACTGAATTGGATTAGCGAATGTGGTCAGTTCTAGAATGTGGTCTGTGTGTGCTAAACTTTTTGGTCGAATATTGTCACTGAAACAAAAAAGTAACCATTTACTAAGCTATAGAATATTTCTTGTGCTTTGTATTTATGCCTTTTTAATCACATGTTCTGTAGAATATTGGCCCCAATACCCTTCAATGTAATAATTATTTGCAATTATTGGATACAAGCAGCTCACATGTTTGAAGTAACTTTTCAGCTTTAATATTACCAGATTTATTTTCAACAAAAGTAGAACAGTTAAAAGTGAATTTTTCGCAATCATCTGAAATTGTCTTACTGTGCTTCATTAATAGCCCAAACGATCTGCTCTTTCAACTCGAGTGTGTGAGCCCATATAGTTATCTGTTTGCCATTTTTGACTAGTCGAAATTTGTAATTCGAGTCGCCCTGGTTATTTAGGACGGCAGCATTGTGGATTTCTTCAACGTGATACTCCATTATGTTTAGAATGTCCCTAAAGGCGAATTGGTTGTTCTGAAACGAAATTATTAGACAATATTCCAGGAAATTGAATGAAAATTACTAACTTGAGCTTTGCAAATTAAAATGGCCTTATCAAAAATGAACATGTATCTGTTTCTGGTCTTCTGATCATCGTGGGCCTTCATTTTCAGCTCCGCGTCTTTTATCAGTTTGCCATAGCTTGATATACTAAAAAAATTACATAAAAATTCAAAATTTAATCAATCTTTTTTTGTTTTTACTTCATTTCTGGTTCGTGTTTCCAATCCACAATATGATCTTGAAGATAATTGATAACATTCGAATGTTTAACAACCTCGTCGATGTAACTAGCAACGTCCTTCATTGCTTCGTGGGCTCTGTCCATTTCTACATACTCTTCATTATGCTAAAATATTCAACATCATGTTTATTATGTAAATTTTCAGAAACAATATTCCAAATTGCTCAAATTCTTTCGGGAGACTATTCTACCTAAGAACCTAGTATTTATGAAAAATCTTAAAAATAGTTTAATGTCCAAAATGTACAATAAAATCATGTTTTCTTACTTCATCAGTCGTTAAATTATCTAACAGCAAATGATATTTCAATATCCGTTGCATTGGCACAAACAGTACGTCTCGTAGCTTAAATCTACGATTATTTACTTCTTTTTCATGTTTCTAAAACATTATTTTTTTTTTAATTTGTAACATTTGCACATATAAATTATATAAACTCACAATAACGGTTTCGTTAAACCCATAATCTTGATTGCACAAATCCTGTAAAAGATTTGTGGCTCTGGTCAAGTTGGCACAGTAACTACCATAAATAAGGAACCTCTCTTTGAACTTTTGAAATATTTGACTCAGCCGACCTAACACAAACATAATGTTTTTGTTAGTTCGGATTTTAGTAAGTTCAACAAGAAACGCTGAATGGATCTCGTATAATTCCTAAAGCAACAATAGTTCAGTTTAGATGTAGAGCCTAAAAAAAAATTCTACCTTTATTTTGTGAAAAACGGTAGCATGATCTTCAGGCCTCATTTGATTTTGCAAAGGCACCATAAAATACATTTTAAGTTTATTGAGGAGGTCTACGTAGTTTTTTTCTGTATCCAGTAGTTCCCTAATTACAAAGTCTCTTCTCTCTTGCGGTTGAGTTTGCTGTAATACTTTAGCAAATTAGTATTTTTGTCGGGTAAAAAATTGGCTTTTCTAATTTAGCCAGGCAATAGAAACATGATACCTCAATGGCACAGCGAACTAAAATTAAATCCTGATAAATTTCTTCATTCGTGACGGCACTGTCGATGCTAATGATTGATTGTCCGCTGTCTCTATATGAGGGCGGTTGACTGCCAATACTAAAACAATAATAAATGTGTCAACATATTTCTTATATAAATAAAATGGCAATTTGACTAGAATAAAATCTATTGTAAACGAAGGAAATTATTGAAAGTGGTTACTTACATTTCTGTTAAGCTTTGAAATATGTACGCTTCTTCGCGGATTTTCACTTTTGGAATGGAGAATCCTCTAAAATTATTAAATTTAAGATCATTTTGAGTATATGTGAGAATATTTACGTAAAAAATTTTTATCTAAAAATTGTATCCAACAAGCAGAGCAGCAATATTTCAATGAAAATCGAAAATTACACTTGCCAATGAAGAAATTGTAATGGTTTCTTTGGTCCAGTGACCAAGACTTGTAAAAACGCTATAATAAAAGTGTCCAATTCTATTTTAGCATTTTTGTGTTTGCTTTCAATATTAATAAAAATCTCTTACGGTATTCCAGTTTTCAAAGCTTTTTCGGTTCTAGAAAGTTTGGACAATGTACACAGCACCTCATGAATGTTACTTGGATCAAGCAACATAGCGCCTTTGAACAAATCAAACATTCCAAAGCTTGATTGGCACGTTTTAAGGAACAAATTGATATTCCTCAGACAAAAAACCTAAAATCAATCAAATCATTAATGTAATATAAGTAATTTTTTTTAAAAAATCTTTACTTGTGTCATAGTTGGCTTCAAGCTAACATCTTTCAAATCAATGCAGCCGGGATCAATTTTATTTAATAGTTTGCATAAAAGCACTCCATCACGAAGGATGTCGGCAAAATCTGCTATGGTGCTCTCTGACCAATGGGCTTCGTGATCTGGTCTGATCATTTCCCATCTTGTTAACCATTCGGCGCATTCCTTCCATAATTCGTCAGACTCTGGGATGTAGGCTGTAGCCATAATGTGTTACTGAATTGATAAGTCTATTCAGATTAAATTGCTCTCTGGATAACTTATCATTCGATTATTATTATTATAATTGTAAATATTGTCTGTAAATGAAATTAATTTATCAATGCTTACAGTATTATAGGGTATGGTCACTATTTAGGTGTGCTTATTTAACATTTTAAATATTTACTGAACAAAACGAAACAATATTAGCAAATGAGGTAAAAATACTCACTACTTATTTTAGTATTGAGCCGACCACAAAAATTTTAAAATTATTCACAGTGATATCAGCAAAGAAAAATTATTTTTAACACATTGCATGCAGTGGTATTTCTATTCAGGCCACGTCAAATATACAGGGTGACAATTTGGAAAGTAGCAATCGGGTATATCTCTTAGACAAAAAATACTATCAGGAAGATCTCAAATACTTATCGGGGGATTGGAGGGGGAACCAAAATGAAGTTCTTTTTGAGTCACTCCGCTTCCTCCCTGAGATATTATATTAAAAACAATTTTTCCCAACTTGAATTTTGCATCTGAAAGTTGTTCTGGAAGGCTCTAAATCAATCTGTAAGTCTTAGATATTCTAGAGTCAAAATCAAGCATCTTTTCCTCTGGAAGAACTAACCCAAACTAAAAACATTGGAATGCCCAGTGCCCAAAATGAAAAAAACTAGACAACAAAGAGTAAAATCTTACCATATGGGGTGCAGGTTTTTTTGAAGTTTTTACCATGACTTTACCTAATTCTGGTGTCTTTTCCAGCTTCTTTCCTCACAAATCTTGCAGATTCAGGATTTAACTCTTGTTTATTAGTGGCTGCCCTGTAACAAAAAGTTTATAATTTAAGTTTCTTGTTGTGGAAAACTTTTATTTTCAATAACTTACCTTATCAAGTTTGCCAATTGTAACTTAAATAAGCCCAATCTCCACACTAGCCTAGAGGTACGAGCTGCCAGTGCGAAACTACACTTGTACAGCCAAAACCGTCAACTATCCATTAATCCAACCTTCACTCGCCAGCTAGGAATGCACCACCGTAAACACTTACCATAAATAGTATATTGGTGCGACAAAAGGGGTCCAGGACAACTATGGTATTAGGCTCCCCCGGGGCTTCCCTGCCTTGAAGATTCAGTTGGATCATGAACTGTTTTTTTAGGAATTGGCACATATGTAATTTCACATGGAAGAGAAAAGGAATAATCAGCAACTGGATCCGTGCAGTCGTGTCCACCATTTCCAGTCATTACACACCTCAATTGAGATTTACATCAGAAATAATTAGGCGTCTATTTTGCTTGATTAAATTCAGAAAATTCTGGACTTTCTTGGGGGAAGCTCACCTGAAAAAAATGACACAATTTTTATGGATATCAATGAACTCTTGATTTTTTTCTGGAAAACTACTGAAGGGAAAATTGTGAAACTTCCAGGAGGAAAAGAGGAAAGTTAGGAGCTCATCATAATAAAATTTGAAACTCATATCTAGTGAAAAATAACACAATGGGAAATTAATGGAAATCAACTTGCATAATTCAAAGTAAGCAAAAATGCACCCTCTTCTTGATCCTCTTGCATTTTGATTTTTTTCTGGAAAACTCCTGAAGGAAGCATTATGAAACTTTCAGTGAAAAATGAAAAATAACATCATAAGAAATTGATGAAAATTAACCTAATTAGGCAAAAATGCATCCTCTTACATTTCAATTTTTTTCTGGAAAACCACCGAAGGGAAAATTATGAAACTTCCAAGAGAAAAAGAGAAGGGTTAGGAGCTCATCATACTAAAATTTCAATTTTTTCCAGTGAAAAAAAATCCAAATTAAGCAAAAATGCACCCTCTTGTGCTTTGATTTTTTTCTAGAAAACTACTGAAGGTAAAATTATGGAACTTTCAGGAGAAAAAGAGGAAAATTAGGAGCTCATCATACTAAAATTTCAAACTTATCCATTGAAAAATAACAAAAAGGGGAAATTAATGGAAATCAACTTGCAAAGTCCAAATTAAGCAAAAATGCACCCTCTTGCACTTTAATTTTTTTATGGAAAACTACTGAAGGGAAAATTATGAAACTTTCAGGAGAAAAAGGGGAAAGTTAGGAGTTCATTACACTAAAATTTCAAAATGAATATGTACCTCCCAATAATCTGTCTAGCAATTTTCACCAGAAGTGATATTGATAAGGCTCAGATAACTTCTGGACTTTGTTTGCTTACAGTGCAGCTCACCTAAAAGAAATAACACAACGGCAGGGAAATTGTTCGTGGATTTGTAGTTTGATGAGTCAAATCAATTAAAATGTACTAATAACATAGAAAGAGCATTTAAAAAACATCAAAATTATTTATAAAACCCGAGATAAAACCTCAACATCAACAGAAGTTCAATTTACTTATAGTAGACCACCCTGTACTTAATTTACTTGTTTACATGAAAACCTAAGGCATAATCAAGGCATTTGAAAAATGAAAGTCAGCTCTAATAAGTTATGTTTTTGTTAATGAATGTAAAGAAAATGCTCATATAAACATAAAGAACATGTCAACACAAAGTTTCAGCTCGTTTCAAAGTATCCAGATAATTACCTTGGCTCCTGAACTATTATTAGGCCTACTAATCAACTATTGACCGAATTTTCATAAATCCTTTAATCGCTGGCTTTCCAAGAGGGCACCCAACACTTCCATAAATGTCTCAAAAAAATTGAATACTTTCAAATTACCTTTTTGAAAAATATATAGCTACAACTGGATCGCTACATATCTCTCTAGCAATCAGCTAAATAGTATTTTTGTGTAATAATATGCACCTTCATATTGAATTCATTTTGGAAATAGCTAAAAATGGTAGTGGACTACCATTAGCAATTACCCAAAGTTTAAGTTAGTGTTAATTTGGGTTAGTTGGGCTGTTGCTAGTGATAGTGGCTTGAAATTTGCGATAATTGGGACTTATTTTGAGACACTTTTAAGACATTGGAGCATTACACAAAAACATCTTTGGATGATTTCCAATGACAGTAGCTAACATTTTTGTAGCTATGGGTTTAAAGTGGCTTAGACAGCCTTTCAATTGAAAACTGGACAAAAATCAATTTTTTTGGGACACTCCAATATTCTATTATAACAGTACCTACATCCATCAAAATATCTTAATGATTTTCTAAAAAAAAGATCAAACTTTCATGAATATAATATTCGTTCAAGGCAGGACTATAACATATTGTCGGTTAGAACGGCAACTTTACAAAAATCATTATTTTATGAAGGTGTTCGCATGTTCAATGCTCTTCCCGAAGCAATAAAGAATGCACCAAGTTTGAGAGTTTTCAATGCAGAAATTGATACATTCCTGAGGGGCACATAGTAAGTAAGTGAGTAGTAATATTTATTTTTGTAACGAACAATACCTTTTGTAAATACTTGTATTGCAATAACTAGCCAAGTGCTAAATAAAGATCTATTTATTATTATTATTATTATTATTATTATTATTATCAGCATACAGCATTCTTTTCAAACAGTACACAGCATTCTCTTACAGCAGCAAGTACCTACATCCAGAATGTTCCTGGATCTTTCATCTCTTACAGATAATTCATTCATACTTTCTCCTTTTTTAACACACTTTTGGATAACCAAGTCAAAAAAAAATTAATGATGATAATAAGGTGCGTAAGATTTTCTGGAAAACGTCTTTCTCTGACATTAAAACTTCTAATTCCTGGACAGGACTCTCGACTCTCTATGAAATTTACTAATTGCCCAATAACTATTGAAATAAAAAAACATTAAAATAAGCAAGTTCTGGATTGTTCCAGGCTCAAAATTTGAAAATTTTATCAGAAAAAATCAAAGGTGTATTACTTACCAAAATCCAGTAGCCATTAGTACACTGATGGGCACACTACGCGATAATCGGAAAATGGCGGCCGAAAAATCTTAACTTGTGTGAGAAAAATCGATAATTCCTGGTCCCGACTGATGTCGGTACTTTATCTATCAGCAATCGGTTCTCGACCAAATCCCTTTGTCTTGTCCGACAAAGAACTCCGAATCTCAAACCCCCGCCGACCCCAAAAAAAAAGGTAAACTGATAAGGTTGTAAATATGAGAAAAAGAGATAGGCAAAAAAAATTTAAGTGCCTAGTAGAGTAGTACCCCCCCCCCCCCCCCCCCCCAGATGGTGAGTGTAAATCCCTTGTTTCTCGTTTCTAGCTATACAGGCCGAATTAGTTTTTTTTTTTTTTAGCTTTTTTCCAACAAAGCAGAAAACTGTACAAAGTACCGTCAAGATTCTGCGTAAAGTCTAGAATCCAAAAATCGTATGCAAAGTAGCTTCAAAACCGTTCTTGGGACGGTTTTGGAACAGACCTTGATTATAATTTTTGTCTATTCCAGGCGCTGGGCTCTCTGAAATAATTCCGAGGTTTTTAAATTATTCAAAATGTCGCTGGAAAGTGTTCTAAATGGCTTATTGAAGTTCTAAAGTGTTCCAACTTAGCTTGAAGAGTTCTGGAGTATTTTAGAAGTTTTTCAAATGGTTCTGACAGATTTTTAAGTATTTTAGAGCCCTATTGAAGCTCCAAAATGTTCTAAATTGGTTCAATCGAGTTCTAAATGGTTGTCAGTTCTAAATTGATTCCTAATTGTTTTTAAATAACTCTGAGGTTTCTCAATTGTTCTTCGATTATTTTTGAGCAAATTAATAATTATACATCATTGAAAAGTGCAATAGATTCTCTATAATACCTGTACAAAATTGGGGTTTGTGTTTGTAGCTTGTAAAGTTTTAGAGATTTTGAGCCTCAAGATTGAAATTTAGTCTAGTCCACCAAAACTTAAAAATCGATTTTCCCAAAATTCGTAAATGCTAGCGGTTTCAACTAAATACCATCTTGTCGAGCATCTTGTAGTCAAGGGCTACAATTTCTGTTCCAGTACCACTTTTGGTTACCGACATATTTAAGATTCAAGATTTCCAAATAAAAATCTACAAGGGGTAGGTACCCTTAGAAAAAAGGGCAAAAAATTGAAAATTTCTATTTTCGGATTTTTCTTAATTTTGACTTGAGAAATCGATAGAGCGAGTCCAAATTAGTCAACTCTGGAACAACTCTAACATCAATTATATACCTACATTTGGAAATTTCAATGAGAAAAAAAATCCAAAAGGAAATTTCATTTTTGGGTCTGGACATTTTTTGAATTCTTGACATGCTCATGAATAATTGCTTATATCTTCGTTTATTTTTGAGCAAATTAATAATAACTATATTATATCATTGGAAAGAACATTAAATTCTCCATAAGCCTGTGCAAAATTGTTTTTTGTAAAGTTTCCAAGATATTGAGCCTCAAAGTGGAAATTTAGTTAAAATTTTATTCAAAACTTTAAACGCGATTTTCTCAAAAACTATTAATGCTAGCGATTTCAGCTAAATACCATCTGAAAGCCCTTTTCACGAGCTACAATTCTAAAAATTTGGTTCCAGTACCGCTTTTGATTACCAAGATATTCAAGATTGAATGTTTCCAATTAAAAATCCGAAGGGGGTACCCTTAGAAAAAAGTGCAAAGAATTGAAAATTTCTATTTTCGGATTTTCTTAATTTTGTCTTGAGAAATCGATAAAGCGAATCCAAATTGGTCAGAAAAACCTCTAACATAAATTACATTTGGAAATCATTATTCTCATTTTTGGGTCTGGAAATTCTTTGAAATCTTGACACACTTAAGAATAATTGCCTATATCTTCCATTATTTTTGAAAAAAAATAAATAATAACTATACTGGGTGTCTACGAGATCAGTTTCGCGCTGGCATTTGCTGGTTTTTTTTTCGATGGCAAAGATTTTTGGTATGGAGTGTAGGTTTGAGAAATGTCATCTTTTGACATCTGTGTCAATGTTTGGTAACTTCCGGTTTGACCAGAAATGGTCCTAACTCCGTAACTTTGAATGGCATCCCAATAATTTTTTCACATTTTTGGTATCTGCGGATCATGATGTGTACGAAAACGTTAAATTTGAACATTTTTGAAGAAATTTCAGAACTCTGGATGACAATTTATTTTTGAACAGGAAGTGACGGACCGGTCTTAAAATTGTTAATTTCAACCAACACAATCGTAGAAAAATGCGAATGCTAAGTTATTATCCTATGCTTGTTCTCCAAGGGCTTCCAAAGCTGAAAAAATCACATTTTACGTGATAACTCAATGAAATCAGTGAAATCACCTGACTTTCATAACAAATGTTTTTTACCTTTTTCAAAATAAAACCAACTATGCATTAAAACTTTTTATTCATGCCAGTTTTTAATTATTTTTCCAATATTTTTACTATGCATTATTATAACTGATAAAACTACTTATAAATAAACCCCTGTATTCAAACTTTGTATTTACAAATTCCCAAGATGTCAAACAATAACAAATAAACATATCCATGCATTTTTATTCTCATCAAATTTTACCGATGGATCCACCATTCTATGGCCGTCATTGTCATTTTCTATTCACTAAACAAAGATAGCTTACTCATCGGTGAATCCATCGATGAGAATAAAAACGAGGGGTATCTTGCCCACAGATCTTGTCAATGGCTTGTCAAGAAAAAAAAAACACCAGCTCCTTTTGGAAAGCGTTCTTCATACAGGGGTTCATTTATAAGTAGTTTTATCATTTATAGTATTGCATTATAAAAATAATAAGAAAATAATTAAAAACTAACATAAATGAAAAGTTTCAATGCGTAGTTGGTTTTATTTTGAAAAAGGTAAAAAACTCTTGTTGTGAAAGTTGGGTGATTTCACTGATTTCATTGAGTTATCACGCAAAATGTGATTTTTTCAACTTTGGAGAGCAAGCAAAGGATAACATCTTGGCACTCGCATTTTTCTACGATTGTGTGGGTTGAAAATAACAATTTTAAGAACTCTCAGTCACTTTCTGTTCAAAAATAAATTTTCAGCCAGAGTTCTAAAATTTCTTCAAAAATGTTCAAATTTGAGGTTTTCGTACACATCATGATCCGCAGATACCAAAAATGCGAAAAAATTATTGGGATGCCATTCAAAATTACGGAGTTAGGACCATTTCCTGTCAAACCGGAAGTTACCAAACATTGACACACATGTCAAAATATGACATTTCTCAAACCTACACTCTATACCAAAAATCTTTGCCATCGAAAAAAAAACCAGCAAATGCCAGCGCGAAACTGATCTCGTAGACACCCGGTATCCCATTGGAAAGAGCAATTCTCTATAAGGTAGTGATGTAAAAAAAGTACCTACCCGATACAAAGTATCGGGTATTCACTCAATACCCAAAGTATCGAATCCTTGTTGTTCAAAATACCCGATACTTTTTATACCTATAAACCTATAATATGTTATATTATATTTCCTAAATTGCAATATTCTAGTGAAATTATCCATACATAATCAAAGTTTTGAAATGCCTACTGTGTATATTGTGTATCTAAAAAATAACGAATATTTTATTTTTGTCTTTGGTAACCAAAATAAATAAGTAGGTAAAGTGTGTTTTTTTTTTTAAGATAAAAGCCCAAATGACATTATGTTGGCAATACAATGTAAAATTGGGTACATTCAGGGGGTCCCAGCGGCTTTGCTCAGCCTCTCAGCAGGAACTTTATTCTCGAAACCAATGGACAGCGTTCTCATTGGAACGAAGATTCTGTCTTTGTCTTCCGGCATAACAATGACAATGACAGAGTAATCGTTCTTATGAAAACACTGTTCCTTGGTTTTGAGAATAAAGTTCCTGCTGAGAGGTTGAGCTAAGCCGCTGGGACCGCCTGAATGTACCCATTGTCAATGCTTTCAAGGTACAATAATTCACCATTACCATTACCTTTTAAATACCAAATCCTTCAAGCCTATGATTCTTGGATAAATAAAAAATTATAAAATAGTAAAAAATTCACTGATACCTACTGAAGACTGAAAGTACCCAAATATCCAATAAAAGTATCGGGTATTGATATTAAAAGTATCGAATCGGTACAGGTATTCAAAAGTATCGAAACTTTACATCACTACTATAAGGCTGTGCAAAATTGGTTATCCTAACTTTTGGGGTTTCCAAGATCTTGAGCGTGAAAATTGAAATTTTATCTAAAACTTCAAACTCAATTTTCCCAAAAACCGTGAACGCTAGCGATTCCAGCTAAATACCATTTTGGAGGCCTAGAGAAGACTCAAAAGCCTATAATAGAAAAACAATGATTTTTCTATCAAATATTCACATAATATTAGGAAATTGCCTATAAAATAAAAAAATCAATTAGAAAACCCGTTAAAATTGTGTGAATTCTCCAGCTTAAAATATAATACAGAACCTGAAATTATAAATAAATGTTTCATTAGAAAATTAATTACATATTTAATATTTGAATTTTGTGCAAGTAGAAACATGTTAATAAAGTCATAGTACTGCGTACTGCTTCATACGGCCCTGACCACCCAAGACTTCTTGGGGAATATTGAAAACACACAAATTATATATTTTAAGATTTTCTTGGTTCCAACTTGCAAATTCGAGTTGTTTACTTCAACTTAGCCTAACAGCTCCTACCCCTCCTGTCTTGGAGGTTTGCCCCTCCCTGAAAATTTTTCTAAAATGAGAAACTACCCCATGTGATACCTCCTTTGAAAGGTTTTTTATTCCTCTTTAGAGGCGTGACCATTTCAGTTCAGCTACAATATAGAACATGATCACTTGACTTTTGATCTCGAAAACACAAAAACAATTTTGCCTGGCGAAGTTGAAGAGCATTCAGCTATTCTATTAAAGCCCCATTAGGCTGAATTCACTTGAAACCACGTTGTGCAGCTGACACCCAACAGCAAATCATAATTCAACCATTTCTCGCCAGTATTCGGTAGTGCCCCACTGCTACACTTACCTTAAATAGTATAATCGTGCAACAAATGGAATCCTAACCTATTATGGTGGACGGCTTTCCCGGGGGACACGAATTACCAAGAAGAAATAATAAAATCATGATTTGTTGCCCTGGATATCAGTGAAACGCAACTTCAATTGTTGAGAGGAAGTTATTGAAAATTTCTACAGCTAAATGCTTAAAGTCTAATACCAAACATGCTCAACTAGAAGTAGCTTACCAAAATTCTGATTTGAAAGTCAAATAGGATCATAGCTTACGTATATAATTATTACATTTTTTAATAGCTCATTCCTCCACGATAGTCTACTGCCGAATGACGAATATAAAAATAGTATATATTATAATAAAGAAAAGATATGGGTACAATAGCTTGTTTCCAGGCTTGTTTACATTATATTACCTTGGTCCCTTTTTTCTTACTTCAGTCACAGATCCTTCAGTGATGATTCATCAATTAGGTATGATAATAATTGAGATAAACAAATCCTTCCATCTTTAGTGCTTTACACGGGATAGTATATATCTCAAATGGAATATAGAAATCGGATACAAATATGCGTGAATCGATCACACAATTTTTCCAGGAGTTGATATTCTATATTCAGAATTGGTTTTGATTTTCTTTGGAAAAATACTTTTTTTTAGATACAATTAAAAGCCCAAAACACTCAAAATAGTCTAAATTTCATGTATCATTGTATCTTGATTTTGCTAGAAAATTTGTCTAAAGGCTATGATGAGTTGATAATAAACAAAATTGGTTTTGATTATCTCTGAAAAAAGAGACATTTAAGAGTCCAAAATTATTAAAATTTTGCATACATATATCAAAATTTCTACCTTTAAGACTTGTCAAAAATCTCCTAAGCTAAGATTGACAAATTATTGGTAATTTCCAGCATAAAACCAAATATGTAGCTCCCGCTCCAAAAGAATTAACTCCACAAGAAAAGCAAACGCAAGAACTGACAAATATTTTCAATGCAATTGCCAAAGGCTCAATCAAACCTATTGAAGATGCTCTTGCAAATGGTATTTACAACATTTTAAAAAACGATAATAAATAAACAAAAATATATTGCAGGTTTTGATATAAACACAAATTTAAGAGATAACTGGACATCTATATTGCTGGCCGCAAGCTATGGCAATCCGGAAATGATCAAATTTCTTATAGAGGCTGGAGCCGATGTAAATCAAGATAGAGGTACTAATAATACATAACAACGTGATAATATAATTTAATTATAATTTCCAGGAGCTGAAACTCCATTAATGATGGTATGCAGTTGTCCCGATTATACATCGCCTTTTGAAAAATCATTTGAAGTTATTAAAATGTTAGTAGAAAAAGGGGCTGATGTTAGAGCCATTAATCGAAAAAGGATGGATGCTTTGATGTATGCAGCATGTACTGGTAGGAAATTTTCATTATTATTTATTTATATTTCAAAAAAATATTATTTTTTTAGGAAATCTACTTGCTGTAGAATATCTTTTACCTATAGCTGATAAACGTGCTATAGATAACCAACGATGGAGTGTATGGAGCTCAATAAAATTTTATTTTATATTAATTATTATTGCTAATTCTAGGCCTTAACTTGGGCTGTGAGCAACAATAAACCAGACATAGTGAATATTTTATGGCAAAACGGTTTCGACATAAATTCACCTGACATTAGAGGCTTTACTGCTTTAGACTTAGCCAAGGAGAATGGCTTAGATGAAATAGTTAAAATATTTCCTAAAAAGGATACAGATAGAGTAGTCGAAATATTGCATAATATTCACATTAATTTTGAGCAGAATTTTCTTTCTAGTGACCAAAAGTGAGTAATATGAATAATTTCACATATAAATAAAAATAATTTTGCTAATAATTCCAGACCATTATTTCTTGAAGACGTTTGCGACTTTTTAATTTCAATCAAATGCCAAAACCTCGTGCCATTATTTTACGATAAAAAAGTAGCTTTAAATGAATTTTTGGCTATGAACGACACTGATTTAAAAAGCCTCGGAGTGCATTTGCCCTATCAAAGAAACAGGATTTTGGCGGGCTTGCATAGATTCCATAAACAACCGTACGATCCACAATCGTTGCACATTTGCATTAACAATGATAGATTTACGAATGTGGATGTCGCTATTGAACTTTTGTCGGCTATTAAGCAAATTGTAGCGATGGAGGGTTGCTTGAAGTATTTAATGAAGCATTTAGATGAGGCGGAAGTTTCTTTGGAAGATAGGGAAATGGCGAGAGGTATTAAGTTGAAAGTGCAAAAACTGATGGCTGTGAATAGGAAGTTGGAGAAGAAATTAGAAAGAGTAAGTTAAGGATTAAAAACTTTTTTTGGTCAGAATATTACTCTGGCTTGTCTTGAGACTGTACTGTAAATTTTACATAATTAAATGCATTAAAAAGGTATTTTTTTTTTGTATTCAGTGGGATGCGGATCTTTCTCCTGCAGATCTGATAACAAAAAAATCAGTTGGAAGAAAATTTCCTTGGAAAAAGATCAGTATTTGTTTTGGAGTTGTTAGCTTAGTTTTATTTTGTAAGCTTAATAAGTATTAGTTTGGAATAAATTTTGTATTTTGTTCTGAGTCGTCTTTTTATGAATCATATTTTTTGTATGCCCAGGCTCTTGAATTTTATTTATTTTGACCAATTGAAGAGCCGGGAATAGACAAAAATGGAGAAATAGAGAGAAGAAATTTGAGAAGAATTGAGAAAAAAATTGTAGACAAATAAACACAAAGGGTTTTTGTGAAAACATGGACATTTCCACCATAGTCTCGGGTACAAATGGTACTGGAAGTTATAGGCAGTACCAATATACACTGTTTTGGGAACCTCATTTGACTTGCAAATTACTTTGAGGGTAGTTTAAGGGGTAAAATTAATAATTGCGATTCATCGAAAAAAGAGTTTCTGCGAAAATATGGATATTTCCACCCTAATCTCGGGCACAAATGGTACTGGGAGTTATAGGCAGTACCAATATACACCGTTAAAGGTACCTAAAGAGACTTGCAATTATCTTTGAGGATGGTTCAAGGGGGTGAAACTGCTCATTACGATTCACCAAAACTAGGGTTTTTGTGGAAATATGGATATTTCCACCCTAGTCTCGGGCACAAATGGAACTGGACGTTATAGGCAGTACCAATATACACCGTTTAGGGAACTTCATTTGATTTGCAAATAACTTTGAGGGTGGTTTAAGAAAACCAATAATTGCTATTTATCGAAAAAAGGGTTTTTGTGCAAATATGGATATATTTGTCTCGGGTACAAATGGTAGTAGAAGTTATAGACAGTACCAATATACACCGTTAGGGGTAACTAAAAAGACTTGCAAATAACTTTGAGGGTAGTTCAAGGGTGTGAAACTAATGATTCATCGGAAATAGTGTTTTTGTGAAAATATGGACATTTCCACCCTAGATTGCGACTTCAAATCTCAAAATAATTTAGTGTATGGAGTTTGGGGGATCCCAAAAGACCATTGAGACACAAAATCTCAAAAAAAGAAATTGAAATTCCATCGTTCTAGTACTGAGGTAGCTACCTTATGATTTGGATATTTCAAACTTTGAAAAATCTTAACTTTTTTTTCTATTAGAGATAGAAAGCTGAAATTTTCAACGATTATCCAAATAGAGGACTACAATTCCTGGAAATCGTGTCAAGCAATTTAAGGTGATTTATCAATTATTTTTCTGAGTGTCCTTTTTCATAGATTTTGGCTCCAAATCTCAAAATAATTTGGAGTATGGAGTTTGAGGGATCCCAAAAAACCATTAGGACACAAAATCTCAAAAAAAAATAAATAAAATTGGAATTTCGTTTTAGTACCTACTGAATAAAGCTACATCCTCAATCAATCTGTCAGCGAAGTGGCACTTCGGCACGCGTGCTGGAAAATTGACACCCATCCTCAATGCTGTCAATTTATGTAATGGTATTTTAATGTACTGTGCATGACATAAGTCGTCACGCATCAAAAAAGTTTGCAGCTTGCAAGCTTGCACTTCGGAGTCGGCGTGCATGCTAGCACGAAATTGAATTGAGGATGCCAACGTTAAACAACATTGTCCTAGCACACGTGCCGAAGTGCCACTTCGCTACCAGATTGATTGAGGATGGGCCTTTAGCCGACCTTACGATTTAGATTTTGGAAAACTTTAAAAGGTTATAACTTTTTTTTATTAAAGATAGAAAGTTGAAATTTTCAGCAATTCTAATTGAAGTAGAGGACTCCAATCCCTAAAAATTGCAGCTCATTTGGACTGATAATTTAGAAATAAAATCGTGTTAAGCAATTTGGGGTGATTTATCAATTTTTCAATTTCTCTGAGTGCCTTTTTTCATAGAATCCGGTTCCAAATCTCAGAATAATTCAGTGATTCAATGATCATATAGATACAAAATCTCAACATAAAAAAAATTTCATCATTTTAGTAGATACTGATGCTACCTTATGATTTGGATTTTGGAAAAGTTTGAAAGGTCATAACTTTCTTTCTATTACAGATAGAAAGCTGAAATTTTCAGCGATTCTTATTCCAGTAGAGGATTACAATCCCAGAAAATTTCAGCTCATTTGGACTTATAGTTCCAGAAATAAAATCGTGTTAAGCAATTTGGGGTAATTTATCAATTTTTCTGAGTGCCTTTTTTCATAGAATCTGGCTCCAAATCACAAATTTATGTATGGAGTTTGAGATATCCCAAAGGACCATTAGGACACAAAATCTCAACAACAAAAAAAATGGAATTTCATCGTTTTAGTACCGAGGTCTTATGATTTAGATTTTGGAAAACTTTGAAATGTCATAAATTTTTTTTATTAAAGATAGAATGCTGAAATTTTCAGCGATTCTTATTCCAGTTGAGGACTACAATTTCTGAGAATTTCAGCTCATTTGGACTTTTAATTCCAGAAATAAAATCATGTTAAGCAATTTGGGATAATTTATTTCAAAATTTCCAACCAAAAATTTTTAGAAAAAGGATGTATAAGAAACCTTTTTTTTTTGAAAATACTGCTTTTATAGAGAGAAAATTAAAATAAAATTGTGAAACACATAACTAGTTATTTGTTTGAAAATGTTAGATATTTACTCGGATATTTATAATAAATGAAAATATAGACTAAAAACACAAAAAACCTCTATCCACTAGCCGGATTTTTGCCAAGCCTGTAACAAATGTTGAGAGAAAAAAAATCTCCAGAATCTTCGAGGAAATTACGAAGTCAACATGCTCTTCAAAAACCAGTTAAAGGCAAGCATAGACAATTATGAACATCGATGAGGCTATGTGAATCCTCGAATAATAAGAGTGTCAGAAATGGAAAGGGTCAGCAACTATTTAAATAGAAATTTACGAAAAAATAAATGAAACCTGTTAGTTGTTGCACCTGGATATTACTTGGGAAACTTAAAACTCAAAAAAATCTTTTTACAGTTACTTTTATATTATTCTAGATAAATACCAAATGCAAACTTATAATACTCACAATTTATTAATACCTTGCATACATATAAACATATAATACAAAAAAACAAAACAAAACTAAAATTATCTTATTTCAAATTTCATCATATACTTCAACCATCTTTTATGTTTATTAGCATATTCGCACTGCACCCCGCCCGCCCTTATGTTTGCCTCAATAAAATCTTTCTCTACAATACCCATAATCCTAAACATATTACTAGAGGTCCATTGAGATTCACTGGGCTGAGTTTTAAATATTTTCGGCTGTTTCTCTTCACAATCAATGTTGTTCATAATTGACTCAGTTTTATTTAATTGTATGGTATTTAAATTTTGACCGGGGCTGAATTCTTGGCCTAAATATTTATGGGAAGCTTCCAATAACTCGTGTAGAATGTATCTTCTATGAAGCCAATATGGCTCGTGTACTTGATTCATGACATCAATATTCATTGTATATGAGAGTTCTTTAAAAATATAAATTACATAATGTGTAAATCTAGATAAATCTTTTATAGTATTATTTTTAGCTGGTTCCCCTAACAAATATATTAAAAAATGTTCAGGATCATCACAATGTTGAATTCTAAAATGCCATAAAACATTTTTTAAATAAAACTTGATATTGAGAGAAAGTAAATTGTTATGCAATTTTAATTGATTTAGTAAAAATTGCCTATAATGATAACCACAACTCTCAGATATGTGTCGCGAAATCCAAAATTTGTTCATGTCTAATTCCGCTGTTATAAGGTTTGAAATGTATTTATAAAATTTTGTTACGACCCACTGCCTATGGATCCAAGAATGGTAATTATTTGGGGTATTCTCTGCAGTTTGTGTACAAACATATAATTCATGCATTAGAATGATTTCAGCGGATGGTAGTAAGGGTTTAAATAATTTCCTATTAATAAGCCATCTCCTATAAGAAAATACTTCATTTGATTTCGGCTTGTGAGTCAACACCAGCCTGCTAAAAGTAAGCTCTTCTTCCAAACTCAATACATTATCCTCTACTAATTCTCGCTTCATATTCCAGAAAGTCGGCACATCAGGGTTTATTAATAGAGCTCCTACAATTAAATAGTTCAAGTCATCTTTAAGGGAAAAACTTATTTTCTTCTGGGCAAGGCTTCTGCGAGCTTCGAACAATTTGGAGCAGGCATAATCATAGATGTATCGAACACACCACGATTCTAAGCCGAAATGATGATTCTCGTACAAAACTGGGCTGCGATTTTCGGCGTTGTTGGCCACAGGGATAATGGTGAAATCAGACCTTTGGAAGGAATGGTTTATTAAGTTTAAATTTGAGTGAGAAGGGCGGATAAAGTTTGAGGTTATAATAAACAAAAATTACTTACAAAAGCGAATCATTTTTGATTGTAGTTTCTATTGTGCGCAAAATTTTCTCAGACATCGACGCGTGTTCCATTTTATTATTAATAGCTTTATAGTGTTATTAATTTAGATGGATATTTTTTATTATTTTCCATTTCCCTTAATTTATTTTTATTTTGACAATGTAATGTTGTGACAAATCACTGGTTCTGTGATGTGAAGTGATGGAAACTGCAACGTTGCCATGTTGCCAAATTTAATACCGATAGGAAAAAGAGGAGCGGCTAATATCCAAACATTTTCCGCGGCGTTGCCAGATTACATCCTACTAAAAGCGCCAATCCAAGCGGTAAATTTTTAAAAATACAGAGGAGTACTTAGGTATTGAAACATTATTGGGCTTCCTTGGCATTTGTTTTAGATTAAAAATGTAAATATATAAAAAATAACCTGACTTTGAAGGATAGAATAGGATAATTATTTAACAGGAACTATAGGCAAGGTCGGAAAGACACTTTTTCCTATGACCCTATCCGAAAGTGATCTTCTTTTCAGAGAGGAAAATAGTTATTTCCCCTCCCTAGAGAGGAAAGTAAATTATTTTCCTTCCTAGGCAGAAGTTTTTTCGCTGTAGATCATAGTTTTAGCTCCAAATGAATAAATTACCTACCTTCATTTGCTGAAAAAAAAATTCCTTGAAGTTGATGACCATTATTTCATACCGCTTAAGGATTAAAAATGGAAAACTGAATTTTCACTTTGCACACTAATAAAAAAATTTAAAACGATATAGGTATCGTATGTCTCCTCATGTGTAATGCAAATACCTATTATAGAAAGTACCTATCTACATATTGCTATATTGACGTTACTTCAAGAAAATTAGAGTAAAGCCTAGTACTCATAACTGCGAAATTCGCATTTTTTTGACATTACGTTGACAATTTGACGTATTATGCGTGTATCAAATGTCAAATTGTCGAAGCAATGACAAAAAAATGCGAATTTCCCAGTTATGAGTACTAGGCTTAACACCTGTGTTACTATAACCCCTATTAAAAGTGACGTTGTCATTGAATTGATGTTACTTAATAATTATAGCAACATCTCTGTTACTTTAGCCACGGCCAAATTAAAAATAGCGTAAACTGCAGCAAAAGCACGCCGATGTTAGATTAGAATAGTTATAGAAATCAAATCGAAAGTGAAGACTTGAAAAACATGTGGCAACGCCGCGGAAAATGTTTGGGTATTCAGCCGCTCCTGGAAAAAGTAGCATTGAATTTGGGTAGGAGTTATCGATAATCATAGCTATCGATACGATATTCGTTCAAAAATTTACTTTTTCATATCGATATTAATATGAGAAAATATCGATACGATATTTTTGATCTGAGTCGTAGAACTCGTAGATGTATAGTATATACAGAGGGCCCTGGTATCAGTGGCGTATCTACCGGTGGCATATTCATTTTCTGCCAACGTAATAGGACCTTCGGCTGCATTCGTGTTCGTTCGAGCACAGCCTACCTGGCGTTCGTGAATTCGTGAAAATAATCTCTAAATAAATTCAGTTGGAAATTGGCAGTTATTTTTAGTTGTTGGCACATGTTTCAATGCGAAATGCAATAACGAATGAAGAAATACCTTTTTTTAAGAGTTTAAAAATTAATCATTGTGTCTACTGAAATGTCCCAGAACTTTTTTAGTAGGTTTGAGCTAGTTTCGGTTAGTTTGCGTTAGTATGGGTTATTTTTGGTTGGTTTGGGTTGGTTCGGGTTAGTTTTGGTTTAAAAACCGCACTAGGCGATGGTCTTCCTGTTTCCTTTTTTCAAGCAGAGACAGTGCTTAATTCAAACCGTCAAACCCGTCCTGAAATTTTTTTTAGCTCAAACTCCATAAAATAGTTAGTATAAAAGGTCCATCGGGTAGATACAAAGAGATCGTTGATTCTATCTAACACAATAATTAAGCCAATGTTTTCCGAAATTTTGGTGTAAATAAATTTTTTATCTTTTATCTTCCCTTCCTTCGAATAAAAAACATTTATCGGACCTAATTATGAATAAAATGCTTGCAACATACAGTCACATGAACTGCCAACGTCTTGTTGCGACGCTCATATTCTGCTAACGCATCACGGCGCAGGGCACGAATCTAGCCGAATATCAGTTGCGTTGGCAAAAAATGAATATGCCTACCGGTGTGCCATGTGTGCGAAGCACACAGGCCAGGCCCCGAAAGGGGCCGTGACCTCCACAGCGAAACTGCAAAAAAAAATGTTTGAAGATGATAGACCTAAAATTATATTAATGTTTTTATTTTTTTGATTTTGATGGTATAATAATGATTAATCTATGGGCAATAGTCTATCTACGCGCACAAAAAATACCGGCAGCGGTACCTTTTAATATCATTTATACAGGGCGATTCACGAAAATCGAAACGGAGGCGTTTTAGGATATTTTAAGGTTGATTCAAAAACAACGCCCTGACACGTCATTTTTTTATTCAATGGGGAAACTTTTTGACTCGGTATTTTACTAGGCTGCACCTCCTCTGGGTGGGGTGACTTTCACCCCCTTTTTTTTAGATAAGGAAGATACGTCGAGTGGTACCTTGTTTTAAAGGTATTTTGATTCGCGTCACAACTGTGTACTTTTTTTGATAATCGAATGATTAGTTCTCAAGATATTCAAAGTCAAAGTCAACAAATAGCTTTATTCGCATCTAACATAAATGTTGTGTACAAAGCCTTGGTAATAAAATGTAATTTTAAATAAGTACCTAAAACTATATATAAATACATAAAAAAAGAGCATAAAACAATAAAATTATGTCATCAGATATATAGGAAATTAAAAAAATAGAAAAATGAATAAAGCTTAGTACTCATAACTGCGAAATTCGCATTTTTTTGACATTGCGTTGAAAATTTGATGTTTTATGCGTGTATCAAACATCAAATTGTCGAAGCAATGTCAAAAAAATGCGAATTTCGCAGTTATGAGTACTAGGCTTAAAACAGGTAATTCAAACATGACTTAAATCCCTAAAATAAAGTCTTATGGACACAACAAAACAAAGAAAAATAACCTATTATATGTACATTTACAGGAATACAGGAAAATAAAATGTTACAAGGAACACGTAGACAACAGTAGTCAAATACAATAAAACTTAACCTAAGAGATCGGTAAAAATTCGTCCAAGGTGTAATATGCCTTTGTTAGCAATAGCCTCTTAACTGACCTTCTAAATCTCCTCGCACATCGTTGCCGTCTCAAACACAAAGGAAGATGATTGAACATTTTTTTGCCATTGTAAATAATGGACTTTTTCACCTGATCGGACTTAGGAATCGGCAAAGGCAACATGAAAGTCTGACGAGTACTGTAAGTCTGAGGCAAGAACAGCTCTTCTCTAAACTTTTTACGCACAAGGCATAGCGTTTCCATAATGAAAATGCAGTACAATGTTAGAACCGAGTGGCGCACAAACAAAAGACGACAAGTGTCTCTCATTCTGGCAGAGGACATGGACCGAAGCGCTCTCTTTTGTAGCACAAATACAGTATGGAACAGGCTCGCCGAACAGCATCCCCAGAATTCAATGTCAAAGTTGCCATGGGCTAGATAGGAAACAATCTTCTAGCCCTCTTATTCTCAAATTAACACTTTCCTGACTTTCCTCTCAGACACGACAATTTTCTTTTTTTGTGTGCTTCCGGAAAAATTAAAATTGACGTGTCCGAAAGGAAAGTCAGGAAAGAGTATTTGAGAATTAGGTACAGGGCCAGAAGATTGTTTCTTATTTATTTTGAGAACTAATCATTAGATTTTCAAAGAAAGTACACAGTTGTGACGAGACTCAAAATACCTTTAAATCAAGGTATCACTCGACGCCTCTGTTTCGACGTTCATGAAACACCCTGTATAAAGTATAAAGCCTATCTTGAACAGGTCAATCGATTCGGGATTCTGACAGACCGTTCAAATAAAAATACCTAAAAAAAAAAATTTTGGAGTGTTTTTTGAACGACTTTTGGGTTAAAATTTGGGTTAGTTTGGGTTACCCAAAAAAAAAATCGCCTTCGGCGGGGAACCTGTAGTGGGCCTGCAGAGATTTGGGCACACAGGCCCGGAGCTGGGTTGATACGCCACTGCCTGGTATATAATATATTTATGCGAATGTCCTCTTATATTGTACCAATTTTTCTTGCATTACATTTCTTTATTTCTCAATTTTTGTCCAGTGGCGTAACTTCAAATCCGGGCCCCCCCCCCCGCAAGGATTTTCCCGGGGCCCATATCTTTTATGTATTTTTTTTTCCTTCTAATTTTGCTTTATACAGGGTGTCTGTTTTAATTTAGTGATACCACTATTGTAAGCCTGCCATACGTCTCGTATTATACGGGACAGTCCCTTATTTCAAGGTTCATGTCCCGCATCCCAAAATTTGTTGTCGGGACGCGTAAATGTTCCGTATTCTTTGATATTTTAAAAAAACGTAAAATAATTCGATTGTTGCGTCTCATTTCAAGTCTGCGGTGGCATCAGAGATATGGGAGAGTAGTTGGTTAGAATAGAATAAGGGTCCATCCTGCGCAACTGGCCGAATTTGAAGGACCGCCATTTTTATCACTTATTAGATGTTGGAAAAATAGGTGATGAACAACTCATAACTAAAAAAATTAGCAGAAATAACAAAAAGAAATCTTTTAAAACACCGCGCTGATAAAAATATCTCATAAAAAGCAGGAAAAATCGCCAAAAACAACAATCTGTAACCGACCAAAAGTAAGGTTAGGTTGTGAAAAATCTGTCAGATTGAAGTTGTCAACGTAATGGCGTTTCCGATTGGTAGATTTAATGCGCACTGAGTTTATTTTCATCCTTTTTCATCAGCCTTTAGAAGAAAAAGACAGAAATAAAAAAAACTGCACTAGATTTACTAATCGGAAACGGCATAAGTAAAAAGTGATAAAAATGGCGGCACCCTATGCGTTACCATTAAATCGGATACGCAGACGTCTAAGCGCATTCTATTTCCCTCACATGTCTCTGGGTGGCATAAATAAATCGATTTTTGCGCCTCATCTCTAGTCTCAGAAAATCGCAACGTGGTGGTTATGTGGTTATTCGACAGCATTTGACAGTTATTTAGAATTTGGCGAGTTCGGCCCAAGGATAATAGACACAAGGATTGATTATCGGTCTCGTTTTTGGTAATCGCCGCCATATTGGTGTATCACCATTGCCGACGTCACCAACTAAGTCGTCAGTGTCGGTAGCTGTTTGCGCCTTGCGCCAGCAGTCGTAGCTTAGAATTTAAATTTATGATGAAAAATATTATTTAATTTTAACATAATAGGCAAATAGGAAGATGCGAACGAGAACTAAAAAATAGTTGTTTTAAAATGTTAATTAATGTATGTAAAACCAAGTATGCATAAAGCAAAAGCCCGTGGAATCATAACCTGTGATGTAAACAGCCTACGTCAAGATGAGAAACGACATGCTCCTACGTCACAAATGGTGATTTGATGGGGTAGGACGCTTCAGATTTGTTCTACACAGGTCTTATCAGGATAGGCTATCCTGTAGTAGTAGTGTGTATTATTAGTGGGTTCGGGGTTCGGCCTACGAGCGTGGTCCCGAAAAAAAAAATTCGCCTGCGGCGCTATTTTTTCCATAAATACATGAAACATCTGCTTCATAAAAATATGGTAGCCTTACACTATTGCTATCTCCGAACCGGTAAGAGGGACGAAGTAGGTTAAATTAGATAAAAGTGGCAGATTTTAGTATCCATTGAAGGTAAGTACACAGAGTTGCCAAGTTTTGTTCGTTGCCGAGATATAAGGGAAAATGTAAAAAAAATTAAAACTTATTTCATGAATATTTCAAAATCTATCAACTTTAGAAAAAGCTGTTCATATCATACAAAAGATTCAAGATTCTTTCTTCTCTACAAAATGGTGTCATTGTTATCTTCACACGGCTTTTAGTTATCTTCACACGGCTTTAGTTTCCTTTATATCTTGGAAACGAACAAAAAATTGGCAACCCTGTGAACTTACCTCCAATGAATACAAAAATCTGCCACTTTTGTTTATTTTAAAATTTAACCGACTCGACATACTTTTTCAATGGTTTGGCCTTTTATGTATTATGATTATGAGGTTAATAGGTTAAGTTTAAGTATTTTCTTTTAGTTTAGTAAATATTCTTGTCGCCAGTTTAGTACTTTCTTGTCGCCTGATCTGGGGCCCCTAGCAACTGCGGGCCCTGCGGGCCCTTAGTTACGCCACTGTTTTTGTCCATTCCCGGCTCTTGAGTTATTTTATTGAAATAAAGAAAATTCAAGAGCCTGGAATAGAGAAAACATGAATGTGTTTCTTATAACCCAGACAGCACACCAAGTCTTATAGGGCCAAATTTATGGTCGCTCTTTGAGGTCTCGACCTTGCTTGAGGAAACCTTATTAGACGTTTAGAATTGACTAACGTTTTGAAGAAAAAATAAAGAAATTAATTAATAAGTCAAAAATCACCTGGGCATGCATATTTTCAAAAACATCCAATATTCCGTTTTCCGAGTTTTCCATAAGCGTCTAACGTTCCATCGACAATCAATCCTCCTCTAACTTTTTTTACATTAAAGTTGTTTGGTCTAAACAAATCTTTTCAAATTTAGGATTATTATTTATGCAAAGATCAATCCAAAGTGTCTCCAGAAGCGACATCTAACTTTCTAAATGGGACGCCCTGTAGGTATGTTTTATTGAATTTTTGAATTCTACGTTAAATTCTAATAAGATAAATCTGAAATCTATACAGAGGAGTCAGGACTAGGCTACTAGACACATAGGCTTCAATAAGACCATAGTTGAATAATACCCATATTACCCATGTCACCATGCATGTTGAAATTCGCTCGTCTATGAAAAGTTTGAATGTACTCAAAAAGTAGTTTCCAGTTTTCAAAAGAACTGGAAATATTTAAACTATTTTGCGTACTACTTAGTACCTACTATTATTCAGTATATTATCTAAAATATATAGGTACCTACTTTTAGTACTTTATTTGGTATTTTAATTATCTTTCCTCACCAACTTCAAAGGACAATTGCTATCCAAGAAGGTGCCGACCGACAAAACTTCACCGTATGGACACCAGATAACCGACTCGCCTAGGATGTGGTACTCCCATAGTCTGCTCGACTTCTTCTCACGTAGGAATGTTCACCCGACACCCAATTTCACAACCACGAACGAGTGCTACACCAACTATCCTCCAACCACTTAGGTACCGGTGATAATCGAATTCGGAAACCCACAAACGACCAGACGCAACCAAAGAGCAACACATTCACTTTCACCAACTGGACATTAACAAACACACTTGAAAGCCGAGAAGCCATCGGAGTCATAACAAACTCCCAAGACCTCGACCAATCCTCAGACTCCCTATCTACCAATCCTGCAACCATAAGCCCTACAGGAAGCCAAATCTACGGTACATCTGAACGGAAAACAACAGGAAATACCCCCCGACATACTGATTTTTTTACTTACTAGTTAAATATTTTTAATTAGCTACATTTGCTGAGTTCATATAGCTCAGTTCTGTCTATTAATTGAATTCCCTCTATATAGGTACCTACCAGGTATTTTTGTGATATTTCTAATATTCAGATTTTTATTGTAATACTTTTGTTTTATAATATATTCATTCGAGTTTGACTCCAGACTAATATAAAGGGGTAATTGGTAATTCGATACATTCCATTGGAGAAGTGATAGGGGAGGAGGTAAGGAGTAAATTGAACCGTAACATATGCTTTATGCAAAACTCAATAGTTTTTGAGATATTTCAATGTTTCTGATTCTTGAAAACATGACTTTAAAAATTAATTAGCAAAAAATCTACCATTACTTTTTTCAACTTTTCTACTGGATTAGGTACTTGCTCAACACTATGGTCTTATGTGTGTGATAAAAAATATCCGGAAACATTTCTCTCATACCTAGGAAAATTTAAAATTTTAAATCTCTTGAAAAATAATTTTTAAAAATATGGTATAATTAGATCAATCGAATAGTAATTATACTCTTCTTAAGGCTATACTTAAGGGATATTTAATCTAAGTGGAACCTTGATTGAAAGGCAACAAGTCATTCTACCCGCACTATAGTGGACAATTCTATGCCCCCATTTTTATGACTGCTTTGAAAAGAAGTTTTCCTAGCAGGGCACTTTTAAGTTTATTATAGTGTAATGGTAATAGAGAAAAGAGTTTTGACTTAAAAACCCTGTAAATTTGAGATTAAACTATGGCTTGTAGGGGCGTGAGCAAATCAGGTTACTTCCAATACGGCCTGCGATTGGCCAATCCTTTCAAAATATAAGATGTTTCCTTATCTTAGTCATAAGTCGTGCCAATTTTAAGCTTTTAACTAAACGCTTATCAGTAAAAGTTCAAAATCAGCATTGGTATACTTACCTAATTATAGTGTATATGGTTGCCTATAAACTTGTACAAAAGCTAATTAATTACATACATAAGCCAAGAGCCGGCTTTGTAACGTTAATAATAAGTCTAGACTTAAAACATAGTAGGTATAATTAAAATCAAAATAGCAAAAGCGGCAATAGAATTCCTGAAATAAATGCATACTTATTTACTTATTTATTTTGGACGCCCATTATTATTGACGTTAAAAATAAAAGTCATTAGATGTCTACCTACCAATCGCATTGAACTTGTAGACCAATACAGTGTCAATGCGCTCAATGCGCAAGCGTCCATACAGCTGTCGTCCGGTTTGGATCAGAATTAAAACGCATTCTTTGATAAATAGTATGAAGTGAATTTTCATCAGGCAAGTAAATAAGATTATTTAAAATTTGTAATTTTTATATGAGTTTACGTTTTTAGATATAACAAGCTTACTTAGCCGGTACATTTGGCGGCAATGGTAAGTATATATTTGTCTATAATGCTTTTTTTTTATGACTGATGACTGCAGATAAGTACGCATAACCTAGGGCTGTTAGGGGTCATTCATTTATACACATGTGACTTACATTAATAAACATTTAAGTATATTTACTGTATATAATATAAAACTGCCTGCCTGTTTATTTATAGCTCCGAAATTAAATAAAACTGACCCTTGTCAATTCAATTTACCTATATGCCTCCTCAATTTTATGACAGGAGAGGGGGAAAATAACATTTTTGATAGGTATTGCCTCTTGATATAGACCATTGTAAAATGCTAACAGCCTAAAATCTTATGAGAACAGTCTTTAATTAAAACCCAATATAGTACAAATAATATGAGGTTAAGTTATAGGAAGGAAACCGAAAAATAATAAAATAGGTATTACTTGTATGAACTATTAGGAATTCCTTAATTTTAGTTCAAAAATGCTTATCTTCTAGACATTTAAATTGTCTATTTTGCAACTATATTAGTCATGTCACGTCTGCCATTATGTTAGTTTCAAAACTCATTGTTATTTGTAGTCTAGTAGACCTATATCTTCTATCTGACTAGTAGTAGGGATAAAATAGTAGTTTAATTAGTATAATAATAAGTAACTATAAATAGTGTGAACAAAGTCACCCAAACCCATTCAATACTAATCTATTAGTCACATTTTTGCTAGGAAATTGTTTCTGACTATTCAACTAATTGCATCAAAAGCAAAATAAGAAGATAAAGCTTCTCATTATAATTTGCTTGTATAATAAAACATTTCTTTTCGCATTAATTTTGATAGCAAAGGCAAAAGTTTGACCCTTTTACCAGCACGTAAAAGTCTCAATGCCAGAGTGTCAATAAACATATTATCAGGCTATGAAATACAATACGAAGCATAAATAATGAAATTGTAATAATAACTTTAACTGCAAGTTTGTTAAAATCAGTACAAAACAAAGTACTTAAAATTTATTTTGGAAAATCCCAAGCTATGAAAATATATGTTTCTTAAAACAAAGTTAACACTGGAGAATAATCGAAGTGCATTCTAAAAATACATTCAATGGAAACTATATCATTTTACAATCATAACCAGTAAACCGCCTGAATATTTTTAAGTTGATAGTTACTTCAACACACATAAAACTGATAAGTGTTAAAAATATATACTGTCAGCACGATATTTATCTTTTTGTCCAGATAAAAATTTGCTGAGTATCACATTCTCAATAAGGCAAGTGTATCGTACAACATGCTTGGCATACTCATTATGTAATCAAGTAATTTGTCCGTTAGCAAGTTCAAGAGGATAGTTTTGTTTTTGTATAAAGATTTATCTGACATTGCAATTATTATGGTAGTTACTGCCAGGGGTTTTTCACCTAACAAAATTTGTACACATATTAACAGTACCTACTAACTGAGATATTTCCATGTATTAACAGATATTTCTATGTACCTAATAACAAGTTATTGCCAACTATTTCCATGTATTAACAAAATATTTCCCTAGTATTATCACATATTACCAGGTATTGCCATGCTATTGACAGACTAAAATCAGATATTTGTCATGCCAGAATTCTAGGTATTAGTACATATCCACAGGTATTTACATGTTATTAATGGGTATCAACCAATGACATTAACATATATTGCCTAGATATCTACAAGTATTGACATATTATTACCTACATAATTAACCAGTAGGTATTTTTTTTTTTTTTTTTTTTTTTTATTTATTTATTACTGACCCTGAAACAGTAATTAAGCTTACTGGTATTAGGGCCTACAGAAGTAAGTTAATAATGTAATTGTAATTAACAATATAAAATATTAATTTTATAGTAACTTATCAAAAATCACATTAGTTTAGATATAACTTAAGGCTATGACAGAATTTTTTTACAGTTTCAATATTTACAATATCCTGTGGTATAGAATTGTATGTTTGAATACTTCCATATAAGGGTGAACTTTGTGCTTTCTGTGTCCTTGAAAAATCATTTCTTAAATTTGCTGCATTTCTTACGTTATGTGTGTGACATTCTTTTACTTGCTTTGTAGTTAAATTTGATTTTAATAAGTTATTGTTTATTAGGTATATAAATTTAGTTTGTTCATATATTCTCATTTTATTCAGGTCCCATAGTTTTATTTGTTCATACAACTCTTCTGTTGGAGTAGAATATTCAATATGGTAAATAGTCTTTATGGCCCTGTTTTGCACTCTTTGTAGTTTGGTTTGTAAGTTTTTTGGTAGATTACCCCAACATGGTAGAAGATACCGGATATGTGGCACGATAAATGAATTGTATAACAAGTTTCTAGTTTTTTTGTTTAGGCTTGCAGCACACCTCTTGACAGCTCCAACAAAGGGCACAATTTTTTTAATGATACTTTCAACATGCAGATTCCAACTCAAATTGTTTTGTATCACAAGTCCTAGGTACTTATATTCAGTTACTTCTTTCAGTCTTACTCTATTCAGGTACAGTTTTACATCACAGTTTGGTTTGTTTTTTTGTTTCACTACCATATACACCGTTTTAGTTATATTTATTGATAACTTGTTTTTACACAACCACCTAAAATATAGGTTCAAATCTTGGTTTGCTAGATTTTCGAGTTCCTCGGGATTATCTGCAGTTAAAACTAAAGCTGTATCATCTGCGAACATAAAGTACTTGGCTTTCAGACCTGCATACTTTAAATTTTTAACATATAATAAATATTGCAGTGGGCCAAGTACAGAACCCTGGGCAATTCCGACTTTCAATTCAGCTTTATTGCTCTTGATCTTGTTAATTTCAGTGCAATGTGTCCGATACTTAGAATATGATCTCATAAGTGTATATCCAACACCCCTGAAGCCCATTCTTTCCAGTTTTTCTAGAAGAATATCTACATCAACTGTGTCGAAGGCTTTTTGGAGATCCACAAATATAGTCAGCACATATTTGTTTTTGTCAATTTCAGAGGACACATATTCAAGCAGATCAGCCGTCGCTCCCAGGGTGCTGCTCTGTTTCTGGAAACCATATTGATATTTGTCCATACCAGATGTATTATTTATGAAGTTAATTATTCGTGTTTTTATTATTTTTTCTGCAATTTTGGAGAATAGACACAATACAGATATGGGCCTATAGTTTGTTGTATTTTTATGTGACCCTTTTTTATATATAGGAGTTATTTTGGCATTTTTGAACTCTGTTGGAAATATGCCAGTCCCTAATATATTATTGATGAGTTCAACAATCGTTTCTTCCAGTAGGTCTTGAACTTGTAACAAGTCCTTTTTTGTGATTTGGTCCTCACCTGGTGAGCAATTATTTTTCAATTCTCTTATAATATTGGCTACTTCTTGTGAGTCAGTAGGGTAAAAGTAGATAGTTGATGCCACTTCTTCTTCTTCAAACTGCTGGTTTGGTACATCTGGTATATTTTGTGCAAGGTGTTGTCCTACCTGGGCAAAATATCTGTTGAACTCCTCAGCTATTTCTCTTTCATTTTGCAGCTCGTCACCATTTTCACTCAGAATGTGTTTTATGTTGTTTTGTATGTTTTGTTTTTTTGAACAGAGCTCATTTAGGGTTTTCCATAACTTTTTTGAGTCTTTCCCGGCATCAGATACTTTTTTTTCAGCATATTCCCTTTTCAGCTTTTTTCTCATAGAATTCACCTCATTTTTCAACCTTTTAAAGCTATTTTCTGTTTCCAGATTTTTTAATCTTCTCCATCTCACATATTGTTTGTCTCTCTCTTTAACTTTTTTCAGGTACGACACTGTAACCCAATAGTTGTTGTTGCATATTTTGATGCTATATTCTTTTGTTGCCTCATTTTTTGAGTCTGCTACCATTATTGCTAGATCCTGGAACGATTCGATATTTTTTTGTTGTAGCTTTAATTTCACATTTTCTCTAAATTTTTGCGTGTCGATTGATTTTCTAAAAATGTTTTCTTTTTTATTGATTTTAGGTTCTTTAATTATTGTTATATGCATCACCTTGTGATCTGTAATGAAAGAGTCATATAGATTTATGTTACACACCATATTTTTGTTTGTAATCACATGATCAATTATGCTGACAGTGGAATTTGTTTCTCTGGTGGCATCAGATATGTTAATTTTATTTTGTATTGAAAAGCCTGCCATTTCAATATTATATTTATATTCATTTACCTTTTCATTTTCGTTCAGTAAATTTATGTTCATGTCACCAATAATTAGGCACTGTTTTTTTTGCTCACTCATGATTCTATTAATGCCTTCTATAAATATTCCCATATCACTTGCAGGAGGTCTATATATGCTTATTACTGTACATTTTAGTTTTAAAAGATGTATAGAGGCCATGTTGCAGTCAGCAATTATAGGAGTATCTGTGATAATATACTCTAATCCACTTTTAATAATAGTACATTAAAATACAAGTTTCATAAGACGTGATTTTATCGCACGAGCCCTATATTAGAAAACGAGCCGGAGGCGAGTTTTCTAAAGGGCGAGTGCGATAAAATGTCTTATGAAACGAATATTTTATACTATTTTTTCTCTTTTGGTATTGTTTAATTAAAAAAAAAAACAAATTTTCCTTGGAAATTTTATTCTCATATTTCCTGATTTCATGTTTAGGTTGGTAACACTACACGCCAGATATAGAAATCTTCTTTTTTATTTTTATTTTTACCAATAATAAAATCGCAAATGACAGTTCGATGGCCATCAGTCAGCCAGTGTTACCAACTTCCGATAAGTAAAAAAGGAGTGTCACAAAGAGCTTCTTTTCGAAACTACTTTCAGTGTCGAAAAGACTTCGATATGAAACCAAAATAGAAAAAAATACTTATGCCTCCACCTCTTGTTTCCCTACAGTTATGTATGGCACTATAGTTAGGTATATTTATATATTCTGTTTCATTTACATATAGCCATGTTTCAGTCAATACAATAAGATGTATTTCACAATCACTTTTGTTTA